GCCTTCTCTTCAGTGAATAGCTGTTGTAGTTCGCCGGCAATGTACGCAGACAGTGGCGGGTTGGAGGTAGAAGGGGGAGGAATCTGTGTCGGGGGGTAATATACATCGAGTTGGGTCGTGTCAAGATGGAGCTGAGATCGGGGACTTGTTAAGTCTTCCTCTGGAAGGAGTCGCACAGTCAATGCCGCATCAGCCGTCCCGTCGGTAGTCATATGTGGAAGTCTATCGTCTCTCGTGTTCGCGACAGGATGGCCATCTTCGGAGAGCTTCAATCGGAGGTGATGGGCGGAGAACTCGTTGAGGTCATCGAGGGCATGCTGGGTCGTTCGGAGGAGATGTTGCGCCTCGGCATCAGGTAGGGACGGAGTTTCAAATCGGATCTCCAGCGGAAAGACCGGACGACAAGTCTAGTGAAGGCATCGTCAGCAAAGCGTACCCCTATGGCCACGGAGAACCGTTACCTTTCCGTCTGCCCAATCGACCATGTCTTCAATAGGCAATCGAGTCCGGTAGATTGAAGTCGTTTTCCACCAGATCGGGAAGCCGAAGAAGATCACCACGGCCCAGAAAGCGGCCACGACCTTGACCCGGGTCCAGACAGCCTCTGGCTTCTCCGGCGGAGGGAGGCGCTGCGCGGCGGGTTTGGAGCTCATGGTGGAGGTGGAGGATGGCAGGGAGGTAGTCTGCGAAGACGCAAGGTCTTCAATCTTGCCAGTCATGAGCAGGACATGCTTTTGCAAGCAAGTGGGAGCGAGGGGCAGAGAACTGCGAGTGAGGAGTTGAGGGAGTTGGATGCGAGGGAACGAAGGCGGAGGACAAGTGTCGGCGATCCCCTTCCGCCTCGGCTGGATTACAACACTACAATACGGACCGCGATGGATAGATATAACTAGAAGTCAATTGATTAAGATGGCAGTCCAACTCATTCAACATTACTTTTGTATTATTACCACTTTATAAGATTCATATTCATCAAACGGCTAATCACCGTGGGTATCTCAACCAAAACGCCCATAACCCGAAGACTCCATTACAACCAAGTCGATCTAATATTCTTTCTCGAAAATCTTCTGGATCGGTTTCGCAGCCTGTTCAATAGTTGTCAGCCATTGTCGCATCTGAGCCGAGACAGGGTGACACATACATCAATAAATCGCTCCAGATCCTTGTCCAGATTGGCCAGATCCTCCTTGCGCTTGTTGTTCTCCGCAATGAGAGCCTGTTTGCGTTTCAGCAATTCCTGTCGGGCCTGTTCCAATTTCTCCCGTTCTGCGTGTTCGTGGTTGATGCGCGCGATCATTAGCTCATGCTCACTCGACTCGCGATGTTCGGGGAAGAGCTCGAAGAACTCCTCCACGGGGATCAACGGAAGCGACAGGTACTTATGACTAAAGGAGTATCCAGTTAGTTCTTGACAATGGACGATAGAACGGAGTCCAATGCTCACTCGTATGATTCGCATGCCGCAATCTCCCCTGTGAGATGTCGTTGCTCGTAGTACAGGTTCTGAAGCTGGAGGTGGAGCCGATCGATTTCCTGGCGAGCTTCGGCGGTGGATTGTTTCGTCTCTCGGACACGGAAGATCGCCTCCCGATTCTGGCCACGGAGACGAGCCAGAAGGGCGAAAAGTTGTTTCTGTTCTCTAGATGCCGCGAGGATGGCTTCTTCCGGGTTAGAAGTCGTGGACTCGGCGGTCGGATCTAACAACGAGAGGAGTTTCTCGCATTGTTCGCGGGTCTCGGCGCTGGTCTTCAAGACGGGGAGTAGGGAGGGCTCGGCGACGATATCACGGATGGCCATGGTGGGTGGCGAGGAGGAAGAAAAAGCTTCGGGCGATGAAGGTGAAGTTGAGGCGATTAGATGTATGTAATAGGCGGAGGCAGAGAACCGACGGCGGAAGAATTCATATGAAGGTGGTAAGGCTGAACAAATGAGAGCGACAAGTGGAAAACGCCGGGCGTCTCGGCGGTTTGATTTGTTTGGCGCTACCTTTTCCTTCCCCACCACTCCTCCTCCTCCTCTTTCTCTCCCCTTCTCTCTTTCTGCCCAGCCGCTTATCTCTCCCTCTCTTTCTCTCTCTTATTACTTCCCTTTCTCTCTGCTGTGGATGTTCATGAGGTTCTCCTCGTCCTCTCCTTATTCCCTATAGTCCACCACCGCGTCTCTGTTCTTCCCCTGAGTACGTCCCTCCCGCCTTCTCCGTTAATTTCCGACTCCCCAACCAAATCAGTCTCCCCGGAAACCCCAGTCCTGACGTCCACTCCCTCCAGGTCATGCCGAATTGATGTTATAACAATTATTCCTACGACCCTACGCTATCCCGTCATGGCGTGTTCCGCTCAATCCATGACCATTGAGTCATACCCCGACGAGGCCCTCTCCACCTCTTATGCGCCCACCCCAAGCGAGGAGACGGCCCTCGTCCGGGATCGACGACGCAGACACTCTTTCCACACGGCACGGAAGCTGTCTTGTGACTATGATGCCGATGCTGTGTTTTTAAGGGTAAGGATGCTGGTCACTCCATTTTCATTGACACCTCTGACCCGTCCTAGGTGGAACTCTTCCTCGCCGAGATGGAGAGACGCATGCACTGGATCGAAGAATATCGCCAGGCCCACATGGTCCAAATCGATTCCAGTCTGCGCAGAGGATATGCCACGCTGGAGGCAGTGAGAGATTCATGTTCCTTCGCTTCGGGGGAACTCATGGGAGGTGGCAAGAAGCGGGCCAAGATTTTGGTGGAGACGCTTGAGGATCGCTACAAGGATGCTCTGGCGACCAAGGAGACTCTGGAACAGAAGGCCCAGGTGGGTATTCGCTTGATGGAGTCGTTTCTCACCGAGCTGGAGTCCCGGGCCCATGCGGTTCGGGACCGAGGTATTTACGGTACCCTGGATGATGGTTGGAAGGCGGTCGACTCCAAGCTGGTCCAGGCTCGGGAAGCCGTCGATGAGGGTATGGAACGGGCCAAGGAGGCTCTGCGAGAGAGTATCGACCGTGCTATTGTGTTAGCACAGGAGAAACGGCTGATCACCTACGCCGACTTACCCCATCCGTGGCGGATCAATCCCCACATCCTCCAGGGCTATCGCTTTACCCATTCCAAGGTTGAATGTTTCACCTCCATGTTCACCTTCTCCAACGAGTTGGTCAACATCTGGTCCCATCTGATCGGTCTTTTCATCGTTCTGTCGGTGGCCTTTTACTTCTATCCGCTGAACCCCAACTTCCACCTAAGCACCAAAACTGATGTGTTCGTTGCGGCGGTCTTCTTCTTTGCTGCGTGCAAGTGCCTAGTCTGCAGCACCCTTTGGCATACCATGAACAGCATTGCAAACCAGGGACTGATGGAGCGGTTCGCCTGCGTCGATTACACCGGTATCTCCATGCTTGTGGCCGCCTCGATTGTCACAACAGAATACACTGCGTTCTATTGCGAGCCGGTATCACGATGGACGTACATTCTCGCCACCATGTCCCTGGGTATTGGCGGTGTGGTCCTCCCCTGGCACCCGACATTCAACCGCGCCGACTTCGCTTGGGTTCGAGTGGCCTTTTACGTTACCCTCGCGCTCACTGGATTTGCCCCGCTGGCCCAGCTCACTTACACTCGCGGTTTCGAGTGGTGTCTTTATTTCTACGCGCCTGTTGTGAAGAGCATTCTTGTTTATTTCGCTGGGGCCTGCATTTATGCGTCTCAGGTTCCAGAACGCTGGCGTCCGGGACTTTTCGACTATGTCGGTGGCAGTCACAACATCTGGCATTTTGCTGTGCTGGGTGGCATTCTGTTCCACTACTGCGCTATGCAGGACTTGTTCGCAGTAGCGTTCCAGCGGGCTCAGGGCGAATGTCCCAATCTGTCTGCGTAATGGTGATGTTACCATGCCGTCCAAAATAGACTTTTGACAACACCTCCCTTTCGGTGACTTTAGATTTCTGCCGTGCTTATCCATGCCGGCACTTGCTTTTTCACAGCGCTCGCATGGATGGAGTTACACTTGACTTTCGGTTCTTTCTATTCTTGTACATATTCGCTTGGTATCCTGCAGTGTCCGAGCTGTTTATTCCCACGATACCAGATGATGCACTCGTATTCAGCATGCTGTACATTGAAATTCAACATTGACCTGTCTTGAGGTTGCAGAGCGATGATGACGAATAGACTTGCTTTATTTACTTAGTGATATGATAGTATGTATTGATTGACAGTTGCCTTGCCTTCGGCTATGCTTAAAGTAGGTCTATCGGTAGATGCGAATTCATATTCAGGTATCAAAAGCGTCACGGACATTCGACAGAAGGTCATTATTCAAAGCATTTCGCTCGCTTGAATAGCACCCGCAACCGGAGACACATACTCTCGACGTCTAGTCACAAAGATCTCCGCTGCAATCGGTATGTTTGTCTCCTGAAGACTACCGGTCTTGATCTGCGTGATCCCGGGCATGCCTTCGGGCTGCGAATAGAGACTTGTACCGCAGTCTATGGCTGTCAATTTACCGAATTCACGTAGCGGAGGGAACATTCACTTACCACCACAAAAGAAAAGACGATGTTCTTTGCCAGAAACTCCAATTCGGGCCCGGTTTCTGGGTTTCTGGGTAGGCCCTTCGTGACTGAGAATTGCGCAGTCGGAACGGCTACATTGGACGAAAATGCGCTGCCGCTCCATTTCTGGCAGTCCATACAGTGACAGAGGGCTGTCATAGCAGGTTCACCTGCAGGTTTCAGATATTAGTCCTATGAGCGCTTCGACGCAATACAATGAAGTCCCCCCTCATGCTGAGGGGAAAAATGGAAGTGGAGGCTCACCAGAGAATACGAACGACACATTTCCGCAGACGTGATTTCCTGAGCCAAGCATTTTGATGTTATGGACTGCGGACGGGCGATTGTTAAACGATAGATAGTTAAGTTGAAGTGGGACAGATGAGCTCAAGGATGGTTCAGTCGTCCTTTTTATACTATCTAGCTTGAGAATGATTCCACATCATGGACTGCAACCCGGATAACTGATTCCAATCACCCATGTCAGTCTGCGATACTGTGCATGAGAAATCATTTCCTAGCGAGACTGGTTCAGCAGTACATGCTTTGGAATCATTTGCCGTTTTGGAACACAGCGCTGCCCCTGGGGCCTTTTTTCTGTCCCACTATAAGCCTCTCTCTAGGCCAATTCGTCCCTCGATAAGTTTACAAGCAGCTCCACGCAGTGCAAACCGATTGCTTGAATGGCCTAGATGAGGCAGACAAAAAGAAGGCAAAGTATGGCTTCCGCGCCGTAAGAGAATATTCCAGAATCTGGATCGTGGGTGTTCGCGGATGGAAGAAGGACAGCGTCACTAAGTTAAGATAGGGGTCTAAGGCCAAATTCCAGTTGAAGCTGAACCTCCAGAGCGGCAAGAGTTGCCCGTGATGATCCGCGGACCGATTAAGGCGTATTACTTTGCGTATATTATACTTTTAGAAGAGTCCAGATACTTACTAGGATGCAAGGCTAACTTAACGTTCTAATTCTTATATACAACCTTGGAACCTGCTTTCCCGTCACATGTTTCTTGTAAGAACATCAGCTGGAAAGAGTAGGCCATCGACCTTCCTAGAAACCAAGTATATATGTTGGAAAATCGTAACATCGTATCTATGTCCATCTAAGGTCTGATATCTTCTCGGATCGGCTTGACCTGACGCGAGTGCTGGTTGAGATTTGCCTCTCGTGCGCATCTATTGGGGCGTCAACATGGTTAATACACCTGTCTTGTCTTCTGGAGCGGCAGGTGGAGAATATTGCGGCGTGCCCCTGAGGACCGCTGTTTTGCAGGTACCGGGCAATCAGGACTCGTTCTTCGCCTCGGAAGGTGGCACTTCTCGCTTGAAGAACTGTCCCTGGATCCAGGCCCGGTACATCTTGATCTTGCGCTGACGGTTGATGATCAAGCGGTTATCGACAGCCAACTTCTTAATGTCGAACGCTCCGGTGACCTCTTCCTCATCGGTGACGGACAGGCCCTTCTCCATAGTCCACCGACCCCACATCTTCTCCAACTCGTCGCGATCAAAGAAGTACACGCGGGTGCCATCACCGCGGATGTAAAAGTTCTCATCGAGATAGCGACCCTTCTTCATGCGCACCTGGGCCAGATCGCCACGCCCGTAGTCGCGGAACAACACCTGACCACCGGGCTTCAGCACGCGATAGACATTGCGGATAGCGCGTTCCCACTGGTCCGGGGCGAGGGCGGAGAAGATAAAAATCAAGATCACCACATCGACGGACCCCTCTGTCAACCCCGGCGGGAGGGAGTCGTTCTCGCCGTCCGGCACAGCCGACACGTCCCACACATCCGCCACCATATGCTTAGTATCGTACTGGTCGCTGTCGCGCATGACCTGGACCGCGGTCTTGGAGAAGTCGCACGCGTGCACCATCAGCTGGTCGTTCGCATTGTTCGCCAGCAGCGGGAAGGCGGTGTTGCCCGCGCCGGCGCCGACCTCCAGCACGACCTTGGGCCCGGCGTCGGCGGCCGTCACGTCCGCGAGCACAGGGAACTCCTGGCGCAGCCACTTGCGGTCCTTGAAGAAATTCGCCGTGTTGTTCTGGTAGAAGCGGTTCCACCATTTGGCGGGGTCGGAGTTGAAGCGGCTCTTGTCGAACTCGGACACCGGGGCGGCGCGCTGCTTGCTGTACTGCTCTTCGGCGAAGGCCTTGAACTCATCGTCCGGCTGGACGTGGTCCCACGCGTTGAATTCATAGACGTCGTCGCCTTCTTCGAGGTAGCGCGAGCCGAATTGGAAAGGGTCGGTGCGCTTCAGGTTGTTGGAGGGGTCGTGCGAGCGATGCGGCGGGACAGTGGGCGGTTGGACGTTGCGGACGACGGTTTCGAACTCGTCGGCGGGTGGGACAGGGGCCATTGTTGCTGGAGGGGAGTTGGTGGAGAGAAGAGGGACGAGGAGATCGATAAGGCTCGGAGTAGAAAAGTGAAAAGATAAAAATTGGCGGGGTGGAGAAGCGCCTCAGGCAGCGATACCGGCCCCCTGCCGATACCGTACGTGACTGATAGGGCGCAGCCAATCAGACGACGCGGGGGATAATGTGGATGCCTGAGGGATCGACGGCCTCCGCACGTGTCATCTGCTGTCTCCTCCGTCTTCTTTGCTCAGCCTCATCTACTTCTCTCTCTCGCTCTCTCTGTCTGTCATACCCTGTCCGTGGAGGGTCAAATTTGACCTTCAGTAGACACTTTGTCATTTCTCTCGTGCATGGTTGCGTACAAGTCATCCGCATAGATCGATTCATCCATTTGAACTAGCCGTGCTTCTACTCCAACCAAGTAATCGGCACCATGTCATTCTTCTCCTCCCTCTGCGGCTGCTGGACTGGTCCAAACACCAAGAACCAAGCCCAGTCGGCGTCAACCCAATCCACCCATCAACACAGTCACAACCACAACCCTAACTACAATCACCACCACCACAACCACTCCGTCGAAGACGACGGCTACACCCCCATCATCCCGCTCCCAGCATACACCCCACGACCCCGGAGCATCCAAGAGAAGACCCTAGAAGCGCACATGCGCGATCCGCCCATATCCTCAGAGACAGCAACACACCCTGACGAAAAAGCACACTACTTCGACGACGACAGACACACACCACAAGGCCAACGGCCAGAGGACCTCACCTCGGACGCCTCTTCCGCCATCTCCTTCCCTAGTAGCTACGGGAACACATCGACCGCCACGCGCGAGACGCCGCCCCCGCCGTATTCGCCGCGGGCCTGGTCGCCTGTACCGTCGCGGCGGTCAATGTCTGTTTCCTCGGGGCATATGCAGCCCCCGGCCATGGTGCAGATTGCGCCGCCGCCGCCGGTGCTCCAGCGGCGGGGGACGTTGTCGCTGGCTCGTGGGGCGGCAGTGAGGCGTAGCCTCGATGAGCAGGTAGCTGGGGGTTCTTCGAGGAGATTCTCCTGGGAGAGTCGCTGACGGTGTGTTTTTTGTGTTTTCCTTGATTTGTTGCGGGGCTTGGTATTGTGCATGGGATATATGACGGGCATGATTTATGATGGCGGATTGGTTTGCATCTTGCATTGGCGTTGCGGGGTACCGTACATAATCTACATACATAATTGATAATGGACATACATTCGACATTGAGAGAGATGATAGCTTGATAGGTACACTACCACCGGTCAAGGGATGTCGCGATAGGTATTTATATTCCGAATTCATATCGCAGTGTTGTTGGTCCAGCATTATGCATCTAGACGTCATGTTCACATGGGAAGTGCCGCTTTGTACGCAGGTACTTAAAGCTCAACACGGACCATGTGCATACAAATCAATCATAGAACCACATCATATCTACCATACTAAAAACCTCCCACCGTGCGAGACAAGGTAGTACGTCGCTTTTTATCTAATCCTGGGCATCAATGGCAATTGTCAGCTTTACCTAACCCAGACAACCTGAAATCCGGTATTCCCCTAAAGCAAACTAGCTATACGATCCTGCACATGCGGTAACAAATACCCAATCGTCTCTGCCGGAAATTCTAGCAGCTCCAATATCCGCGTGTCATCGCTGTCCTCGAGATACATACAGATAGCAGTACACTCCGACAGGGCGCGGGTCTCCGCCCACCAGAGATTCGTCGAATACATGAGCGCCAGCCACCAGCTGAGGATGACCAACGCCGGCGGGTCCTTCTGCGCCAGCTTCTCCATATAATCCGGCAACAGGCGGCCCATGAAGTTCGTGAACTGCGTGAGACTCTTGATGGACCGCTCGAGAGTCAGAATCGGCGTGAGCATACGCAGTGGCCAGAGGTACGGGTTCGTCTCCTCGGTGGTGGTGTCGTCGATGTCGCAGATATCCGCAAGGAGCGGGTGCAGGCCCTCGCGGCCGGGACGGTGGTCGTCGTAGAGCGGGTTTTCTTCTCGTGGGATCTTGAACATCTCCCACCACATGCTGCTGGTGAGCCAGGGATGTGCGAAGCCTAGGAGATGGCGTAGGCCGCTCTGCACCTGGAGCCAGTTCAGGGCGTCCGGGTCGTCGGAAAAGACGAATGAGCTACGCGGGTTGTACGTCTCCAGGTTGAATGAGTGGACGGTCATGAGCAGGCAGTTGGAGAAGAGTGGATCCATGTTGCGCGGTCCGACGCCGGCGGATAGCTCCTTTGAATATTGGCTGATCGAACGCTGCCAGTGGTGGGCTTCGAGCAGCTTGTAGTGCGTGTTGTTTGGGACGCAGTGGCGGAGATGGGATGCGGCGGTAGCGATGATGCCGTGCATCAGAAGCGGGTTCTTCTTATGTTAGGCGTATATTATGTATGGATAGGTGTAGCTGCTTACTTCAAAGGCTAGTTGGATCATTTTGCATCGCATGATCCTTTGAGGAAGCCCCTCGCTGACCGTCGGCGACGTAGCAGCGGAAAAATGTTGCAACGCCCAGAGACTGGCCGAGAATCGTCCATCTCGGGATTTGACATCTAATAGCCTGTCGATCTCACTTGAGACAGCAATCACAGCCATTGAAAAGGCGCTTGCGTCAGGGGAAGCGATATCTGGGCCTCCCCGCGAAACAGTACGCACTTTGCTAGCCTCATAGGTACACTCGACACCGTGCTTTCGGCAGCGCAAGCAATGCGGTTTAGTCTCATCGCACTGACAGGGTCTAGGGTCAGCATTCTAAAACCATATAGCAGTATGCGGGGAACAATGTACCTTAACCCGGCGCTGTTTGCATACCGCACATCCGGCACGGGACTTCCGGTGCGGCCGTCGCGCGTGGTAGATCTTGTCTGCGGGCTTTTCGCTTGTGCTAGTATCTCCAGATCCGGATGCCGGTCGTAATGCCACACGGAATAGACTCTTCTGGCCCTGCAAGGGACCGCTAAGCTTGTGAGGATTCTCCGGGTGGAGTATCCGGGTAGGGTTTGTGTTGGATGGAGTCGCCAGCATGACGTTTGGTATCGGTTCCAGCATAAATTATGGATTTGCTATGTGACTAGTCACTGTTGCCGGAAGGGCCTTTGTATGTTGAAGGCAGCAGCTATATGATAGAGAACATGCGATGAGTATACACTCGGATGCCAAGCATTGAGTCAGTGAGGCTGAGCAGTTGCATCCTCACGCCTACCGAGTCGGTGCCCTCCAGCGTATGAATAGGGGCTGATGTGCAGGGGCTGAACGAGTTCGTGTGTGATACTGCAGTTGTTGAGGTGTTGGAAGTACACGAGAGCGAGTGGATGAAGAGATGATGGGTGGAGATGGCTCTAGTCTCAAATAGGCAATTCTCGTATTCGGCGCCACCGCAAATCATGGAACAGCCAGGCTTGCTCTATTATTATCAATTGCAATAGAATGATAGAATTGGAACACGAGGCTGAAGCCGCCTTGGCAGGATAATTAATAGAATACGATGCTCATTAACTCATACACATTAGCATAGACCATGGCCTCTTAGCCGATCTTCGCATTCGAAAAGTCCATTTCTGCGCGTCAAAAGGTTAGCTCAGTCCAGACATGTAAGAACGGGAAAGTCATACCAGGATGGTCCGCCTGGAACTTCTTCAAGATGTCCATCTTCCGCTGTTCATCACTCGTGGGCGCACCCATCTCCTTCTGTCGCTGGTCGTACATCATCTTCTCGACCATGGCGCGAGTCTCCCCATCGAGATCACTCAGCTTCGATGACTCCGGCGTGATCTTGCTGACATCGATCTTCGGCGCCGTCGTCACCACATGCGGCCACCACTCCACCTTGTTCACCTTATCCAGATGCAGCGAGACCTCCTTGCCGGGGGGATGAGACGTGGTCTCCAGCGTCCAGGAACTCTCGTCGACAATAATCGGATGGGGGAAGTCGCCCTGTCACATCATAAATCAGCACGCAGTCTCCTTTCCGTTTGACAATGACTCCGCGCAATCAGCGACAAATAAGGTCGCATTAAACCGGAACCGAACGATAGAGACAAAACATGACCTACCTCAATCAGCGGCTCCTGTCCCTTGATCGCCACCTTGATCTTGGTCTTGGTCATCACAACATCCATGTCGCGGCCCTTGATATTGGCCGGAATGGGGATGGTCACGTCGACGTCGCGGATGGTCTGGGTCCATTTGTAGGGAAGCTGGGCCTGTTCGGCGTCTTCCTTGGCCTTGCGCTCTTTTTCCTCGCGCTCACGCTCGGCGACATCGCTGGGAGGAGGATTCTGTTCCGGGTCGGTGGAGGACATTGTCTAAGCTGTTAGTGAGCAGCTGCGCGGAGGCGGGGTGGGGATCTTGTTGCTTGGTGAGGGGTGGGAAAGAAGGACGCGGGCTCCGTAAATGCAGGGATCTTGGTACATACAGAGTACAGGCTGGTTGATCAAATGAGGAATTATGTACGAAAGAAGGAAACGAGACCGCGAAGAGAGGAAGGAAAGCTAACAGCTTCGAGTAGCTTCTGTAGGCGGGGCATAACGCATAACTATGACCTGACTAAGCATGCAATCTTATGTACACTCTACAAGGGCATATCTGCCCCTTCTCCTACCGTACGAAGTTTATGCGAAACAATAACATAGAATCAACTCTGCTTTCCAAAATCAAACCACACCATAGCTTCTACCCCATAAAACCCCCTAGCATCATAAAATTCAGCATCTCAGGCGGGATATACGGGATCTCCAAATCCAACTGCACCCCAGCGCTAGCAAATTCCCGCCTCAACGCCCCTTCACTCCTGGACCAATCCGGCCGTGGCATCCAGCAATTAAACACAGACGACGAGCCAACCGTGACCTGCACCAGACGCTCATACACCCCCCGGGCCCTGCACCGGGCAAGCGCCAAAAGCGCCGGGATCAAGACATGGTTCGGGTCCCAGATCGTCAACCGGGTAATCCCAGCGGGAAGGAGCTGTTCCACGAACTCGCCGACGTCGACGCCTCCGGTCTTGAGCCTCCATGCCTGGAACATCGCTTCGAGGGAGCGTCCGTCGACGTTAAGAACTCGCAGGTTCGTGAATCCCGCAAGAGACGAGACGCTGTGCGTTGTTGGACTTCCGAGGGGGATGTCGAGGCTAGATTCGAAGGTGATTTCTTCGAGTGTCTGCTTCGCGTGCACCATCGCGTCCCAGATCTCGGCGATGGACCAGTCCTCGTGGCTCTCGTCGTACCCGGTGGAGGAGAGCCAGTGCAGGATAAACTTCCGCAGGGACGTGCAGCGGGTCAGGATTGAAACGACGAAGAACGCGCCGGACGCGCTCTCGCCGAGATCTAGCGTTTTCACTGAATCCAGAGCCGGGAGATCTGATCTACCCTCGTAGAACCCCTCCAAGGTGGGGAGAGCCAGATTCTCCAGATTCGGCGATGCCTCGAGTAACGGGGCGACCTGGCTGTAGTCGACGCCCCAGCGGTCGCCGCTGATGTAGTAATAGTAGATCGAGAGCGTGCGCAATCGGGGGAATATGATCTCGTTGCGCGCGTCAGGGAAAGACTCGAAGATCTCCAGGCTCCATTCTTCGTTGACTGGGAAATCGAGGACCTGGAGGTTTGGGGTGTATGCTACCAAGGTCTGGAGGATTGTGTGTCGCCATTCGCTCTCGAGGTGCCAGTCGACGGGGGGAGGACGCAGGCCGAGGTCCGTGATGCATGTCTCGACGAATTGTTTGTCGGTCGTGCTAAGTGTCGTATAGTCCAGCATTTGGTGGAAGGTCAGTTTCGTGACGGCCGCGGCGAGATCCGGACGTGAGACGATGGCGCGGAGAAACTTGATCAGATGAGATACTGGCCGTGAGCCGTGACTATATGCACGGAACAGCATGGGTTGGAGGTCATCTCTGAGCGCTCTGCATGTTTGGGAAAGTTGCGAGAGCGCCTTTTGGTATCTTGAGTCTTCGACGGGGCAGAGGTACGAGGCTATGTGGGTGACAAGTTCAGAAGGAAAGCTATCGAGGGATAGTGGACGGTCCATTGTGTTTGATTTACTAGACATAAGTCTTCGGTCTTCTTTTTCTTGTCCTCTCCTACGGCGAGGGGAGATATATATATAGGGTGAAGCTTACCTTCTACCCGAGTCCCTGGCGAACGCCCCCAGGCTCCCATAGGCAATAACCATAATAGCCGAAGCTGTATGCAGATAATTGGCGGCTGAAAAGTCTGTTTAATGAGTTCCATCTAAAACCGACAGAAGAAGTTTGGTTACGAGGGAGTGGCGGAGAGTATGGGCAACAGTAGCCGACGAGACAGCCAGTGGTAGAACCATGATCGTATAGCAACATATGCATCGAAATACATCGCACTGTACTGAAGAAAGGAGAGTCTATCAGATTCCTGCAGACAGATCGAAGAGAACGAGCCACCGCACCAGCACGGAAATGCTCAGTCTCGCTCTGTGTCTCTCGCAAAACGAGCTATGCGGCCTGCACATCGCCGTCTAGCTAAGAAAAGCGCTATTAACAGACAAGATAACAGTTTCATGGGATATTTGCTGAGTGCATCTCCACCACAAGATAAACCCCCAGTCAGATGTACCACCAACGCCTCATTTGAAATCGAGTAAAATGTTCATGATCGTGTCCTTCATCACCAACACCGTCCGAAAATGCAAATCCACCTGTTCCCCCCGGAGACACTAACCTCTGCCTGTGACAGGTGGTTCGGGCAACTCCCTGGCACCCGACAATGCGGACTGCATATCGATGTGGGAAGGACCCGGAGAAGGAAGACGGTGGTCAATATCCTCCACTTCTTCCACGACAACGCCAGACGGGTCGACGGAGTCAAAGAATTGGCCTGCGAATTCTGCCACCTCGTTCGCCAGCTTGGTCTCCAGAATTCCCTCCAGCATCTGCATGTCCCTCTTCCACTTCTGCTCACGTCGGGCTTTTTCTTCCTCCGGCCGGCGGCAGGTGCCATCTTGTTCGCGGAGCTTCAGACAGTTCGGGCAGACATAGTTGACTTCACAGTAGGAACAGGTGCACGGCGGGTTCGCGTCTACACAGTCCTGACACACGTACACCGAGCAGCTGGTGCATTCGCGGAGCACACTGCCGCACCGTTGCCGCTGATCGCCCACCGCCCGGTACTGAGGACAGAAGAATGACTGGCAGCCTTGCCACTTGGGCGAGTCCATCGGCGATTCGCAGTACACGGACGACGGAGACGAGGAGCGAGAACGGTTCGAGTTTGACACAGAAAGGCTTCGAGAGCGACGATGCATAGGGGCGGGCCGTCCGGAGAGGTCTCCTGTGCTCGGCGAGGGATGGGTGCTTGGTTCCGCGACAACATCGGCAGGCGTGTCTTCCGTGAAGCTACTGGCGGTCGAATCCAGGTTCCGTTGGGTTCTGTAGGGTAGCTCAAATTCAGGCACAGTATTCGGATACGGTAGATGGGGCGACACGTATGAGCGTGGGATGGGCTGTGGGTTGGAATCCGTCCGGTTCTGGATAGCCATCTTTTCCAGTGTCAGATCGCGGTAGCCGCAGATGCGGAGACGCAGGCCACGAAGATCATGCTCGATGCACAAGGGTTTGGAACAGCTCTTGCAGTGCACTTTCCACTGGGGCGTGTCGTAGCATTCCTGGCAGAGATTACGGGGGCACGCGGTTGGCTGGCGATCTGGCGGGCCCAATAGCCATTTCATCATCGCGATATGTCCGGCCTCGAGAGTATAGTCGGGCTTACGCGGGTCACCGTAGGCGTACTTGGGGAATGTCTTGCTCCATTCCTGGGCCGAGTACTCTAGATCCTCCCAGCCCTGCCCCCGAGGCAAAGGTGCGGCTCGCACTTGATCAACGTCGCGATTGGGAGTCCCAATACTGATGCCACCACCCCCGGAAAAGATAGGTTCGGTACAGCACCAGTGAAACTTGAGAATGGGGTAGGTCGCTGGGACATGCTGGTGCAGTGCAGGGGTCTCCGTCTGGTTCGCCAGCGGGTCCGCCATCAGACATGGGGAAGTTGTCGCCCCAGGCGCCCACCAGAACGAGTTCCTAGGATTTTCGACAAGATGAGCGTCGACACTGTTGCGAAGATAGGGTCTGTCGTAGGCGCAGCTGGCACAGAGGGTCTTCCGACATCCGACGCAGTGCATGAGGATGCTGCATTGTTCGCAACGCTCGGGGATTACTTCATAACAATTGTCGCAGCGGATGTTCTCAACAAACTGCCGATGGCTGGACCGGAGATGCGCCGGGGTCATCTTTCCCTCACCCAGCGGCCTCGATTCAGCAGTTCCTAAAGCCTCCCCATAGCAGCCGCTCTCCGCATGTTCCCACAGCTTCCCATCGCGTTTGAGCGGCCGACTTCCCTGATCCACCGGACCGATCCAGTTCTTCGACCTCCACAGTCGATCAAACACAACCCACACTTCCGGATTCCCCTGGGGCACTCTCATGGAAACGTAACCCCGTCGCCTGAAGCAGCGTCCGGCGGGAGTGGAGCACCAGGCGGTATCCGTCCAGATTCCGAGTTTGTGGCAGAGGCTCACCAGTTCGTGGGTCGGTTCTGAATCCGAGTCCTTGCGTGTCAGCGAGCTGGAGAGGTAGGGTCGACGGCGGTGATGGCGGCACCGGTATGTGTAGAGACTCTTGAGGGCGAGAGACTTGGTCGACGGGGAACTGCCGATGTTCTTCTCCATGCTCACGTCATACTGCAGGCCAAACATCGTGAGATACGGAATGATGTGGTATTTGAGCGAGACGTTCTTGCAACCGCGGACAGAAAGATGTTCGAGGGTTTCGCGCCGGGAGTGTAGAACGGTGGAGATGAGGATCTGGCCGGAGACCGCGGTATTGTCCAACTCCAGGCTCCTCAAACACGGACTGAACGGAATCACGACGTTCATCAACAGCTGATCGAGAGCATAAGGACGCGACTGCCGCGGCGTGACGGGATCCGGGGTGCCTGCGATGACGACTCGGAGGGGGGACGGCGTTCCGGAAGGATAGAACAAGCGAAACGAGAGGTACTTCCATGCGGTCGGGTACGACTGGAGGAACGATCGGAGGTAGCGGGAGGTGTGGTAGAGCTGGAGAAGCGTGTCCGTCGGAATTTGGAGGAGCAGCGATTCCAGGATAGGCGCATGGGTGGTAAACACTCGTTCAAAGCTGGAGAGACATCGCTCCACGGGAACGACGGACTGATCCCGGGCAGATTCGACCAGCACTTGCTGGGCGGCATTGGAAACGGTATCCATGGCGGGTTGTCGGGTCGCAAAGCCGAAGCCGAGGCCAGGCAGAGGCTGGACGAGGCCAGTATATGGTCTTCTCCTGTGTATTGGAGGGTGTTCACTGTGACGCGAAGTCACGGAGGAAGTGGAGATTGCGAGAGGAGGAGGACATTCTCAGGGAGGGAGAATGAGAGGCGCAAGGAGGAGGAATAGTCAGGAGATGCAGAAGGAGGGGAGGGAGGGAGGAGGAGAAGCAACGAGAGAAGAGGAGAGGAGGGGAGCAGACGATAAGAGAGAGACAGATGGATGGATGCATGAAGGACAATTAATTGCTGGGGTCTTTGGACAACTCACAATCGGCGTCGCGTCATGTGATAGTCCATCTTCCGACCGGTTTTCTGTACAATCTTATTTACTCCCTAGTTTATTCGATATATTTGCGATGACTTGCAGAGTACAGGAGTCTGATCGCCGTCCAGGGTCCAGATGATCGGGATTCACTAACGGTTTCTCCCTTTTACCTGATGGAGGCATTGGAGCATGCGAGGAATTCCCTCCTCCCATCACGCCATATTCACTGGATCCCTCCGGCCTCCTAGACTTAATACACCCTTCAAAACATACAGATTCTTGTTTATTCGACATATGCACTCTCACATTGGTCGTAAAACTCCGTATGCTCACGGATATATAGAAGCAAGGCATGGTCTATCTCCAACTAGTTAATGCCGGTCTATCGATTCTCCCACGGTATACCCCCTTGCAACGCCCTTGCGCCCTTCCACTACCAGCGTACTGTCCCGCTCCTCCCCCTCGTCTTCATATTGAATATCAAAGTCGCTGCCCAGCCCTTTCCAGGTGCGCTGCGATCGAAGGAACTCCGCCCCTGGGGACACCGTCCCGCCGATCATCGCCAGATCGCCCTTGGCCCGCCTAGCCAGTGCCCGCGCCGCGGAGGGTCCGTTGGCCGCAGACGCCGCCGCATCGCCCGCAGAAACACGGGGTGCGGCATTGCGCATCGGACGCGAGTGCGACACATACCGCCCCGTACGCAGGTCGAATTCAGGAGGCGCGGACTCGGGTTCTGACTCCTCGTCGTCTTCGCCGTCGGCTGTCGCATTCTTCTCGGCCTCCGCCCCTTGTGCGGCCGCCGCTTGTTGCTGGTCGAGAACGCTCTGGAAGTCGCTCTGCCACGCGCCGGTCCAGACTCGCTCCGCGTCGCTCTGGAGCGCAAGCTCCAACTCAAACGGCGTGATCACCGGCTTCCAGAAGTCTTTACTGTCGACCAGCGAACTCTCCCAGCATCCGATCACCACCCAGCCACCGATCTCGCTGAAGTTGGCGACCTTCGCCGCGTTCAACTTGCCCACCACAAACAGATAGCTCTTTTTGCCAGCCGCGGCAATCTTCCCCTTCACATGGTCCACGATGTGCAGGTAGTTCTTCACGCTCAGGGTGTTCACCAGGATACCGAAGATGGGGACGGTGGTGAGGGACGTGAGAATGGCATAGCGACGACGCAGAGCAATCGCCGAGGATGCTGGCAGCGGCTTGACGTTGTCGCTTGTCGGGCCGTCCGTGGGATAGATGTGGATGGCGGCGACGCGGGAAGCAAGGGTCAAGAGGAGGGGCAGTGGGTGGGTCAGAGATGTGGAAAAGCTGCCAGTCGGACAGGGACTCGGGGGCTTCGCGCACCGAATCTGGCACCGTCCGGTTGGGGATGGCAGACGACGGGTTATGCACGACTTCCGTTGCAAACAGGTTCGTGTAGCCCTCCTCGGACAGGCGTTTGTGCAGAGCGGGTAGGTGGCCGCAGTAGGTTACGTCGGCCGCGAGGATGACCTTGCTTGCTGGGTCTGGGTAGGTCTCTTTGAAGGCGCGGACCACAGGGTCGAGGGACAAGGGTTTGTTCGTGAAGACGTAGATGACCGGTAGCCGTGCCGTCGGGGACAGACAGGACCGTCCGTAGTGCACGACTACATCTGCGTTGACATGTTCCGCGGCCACCTCGTCGACGCAGCAGGTGCCGTAGGAGGTATCGGCCAAGATGTAGAGTTTCGACGCAGGTTCCGTGCTATCCTCCACGTTCAGTTGAGAGACAGACTGGGTGAGATCATCCGAGGCGGTGGGAGCGCTGGATTCTTTCGTCGCAGGGTGGGAGCTGTTGTCCTCGGCGTCGCGTTTGTCCAGACCCCGACTCAGCATCTGGAACACGCGTGGGGCGTCGGGAAGCATGTCATCGGGGAATTGCAGGGCGATCCGCTTGTACCGCGCCTGGCGGATCTCTTTCAGCGTGCGATCGATGTCATAGGTGATGTAAAGCTCCTCATCGGACGCGCTGCGAGCGGCGTCTTGCGGGGCGACGGAGTCGGTCGCCTCGAGGATGCGAGTGTCCGGGGTGGAGAGCACCGGCGCAGCCTCCATCTCGCTACCCATGATGAGATGGGAATATTCTCACTGATAGAGCGTAGGCGCAATCCAGCGAGCGGGTGTAGAGTGTGTAGAATGGTGGGATGAAGTGTAGGCGGGATGATGATTGCGGCGGAATTTTTTTCTGCAGGCAAAATCGAGTCCCCCACTTCACCCCGCCAAACGTGCCCGCCAATGGCGCCATATCGATTACCGCAGTAGCAGAGTAAGGCATCTATCTGTCTCATCCTACGTGTATATACGTTTCGTTGAAAACATTGATCATTCATGTTCGCTCATAAATGCCCATGCGGTTCAGCGGAAATATGTACAAGATTCAACCCTGGGCATGACGAAACCAGTCTAATCCTAGTCTAGAGGTTGGCCGTAGCGGGCTCACCAGCCCACACACGACGGATCAACTCACGAATCGGCTCGCGCTTGATCTCCCGCGGGTTCCAGTAGGGGTTGCTCACGGCAATATCGGCGGCCTTGTCGATATCCTCCTCCTTCATGCCGAAGTCCTTGAGACCGCGCTTCACCTTGAGCTTGGACAACAGAACGTTCAGTCCGTGAATGGCGTCGCCGTTGCTGTCGGGGAGTGCCTCGGCCAGCTTCTTCATCGCCTCGGGGATGTTGGGGGCGTTGTAGGAGATGGCATGCGGCAAGACGGCCGTGTGGGTTTCCGCGTGGGGAAGGTTGAAGCTCCCACCGAGGGTATGGCACAGCTTGTGGTGGATGGACATGCCCACACTGCCGAGACAGGTTCCGCACAGCCAGGCTCCGTAGAGAGCCAAGGAACGGGCCGACGCTGACGAGGGGTTCTCGACAATCTCGGGGAGAGACGATGCCAGGGCACGGGTACCCTCCAGTGCCATTAGGTTGATCACCGGGTTAGTGTTGCGCGCATAGAGGGCCTCAACTGTATGTCTGCCGTTAGTCTGCGGGTCTTGAGAGTCAGTGGGGAAGAGGAAGTCTCTTTATATGCGTACCGGCATGGGCAATGGCGTTGACACCGCTGGTCGCACTCATGGCCGCCGGAAGCGTCATCGTCAAGTCGACATCGTAGATCACAGTCCCCGGCAGGATCTTAGGGTCGGAGCGAGTCTTCTTCAGGCCGTCGGCCGTCTCGCCCAGGATGGGAGTCATTTCGCTACCGGCGTAGGTGGTCGGGATGCAAATGTGAGGCAGTCCGGTGCGGATGCTGATGGCCTTGCCCAGACCAATGGTGCTTCCACCGCCGATGGACACGACGCAGTCGGCACCCTGGGCTTTCGCATACTCCAGGGCCTTGTCGGTGATATGCGTGGGCGTGTGCATGGTCGCCTCGCTGAAAATGCCGGCGACCTGGCCCTTGAGCACGTCCTTGACGCTCTCCGCCTGGCTGACTTGCTGCGGGGTCGAGAGCACCAGCGGCGCCTTCAAGTTCTGACGGGCGATCTCCTCGGGGAGTTTCTGAATCGTTCCACTGCCGAAGATGACCCGGCCGGGATTGGCGTTGTATTCAAAGGCGTCCATGTTGATGTAGGGGAGGGCAGTGATGGACTATCACGGAGACCGATATCTGAGTGGAAAAGAGGTGGGGAGATCAGATATTAAATAGTCCGGATATCCCCCGACATCCCCATATGAAGCTTGATCATCAATGATTAATCCTCATGGCCCCCCACACCCCACCGGCGCAGTGATGAAGCCATTGGGGCAAATCTCTCGCTCGTGGGTCTGGTTCGCGGGGCCGCTCAGGCTCGGCAGTTGTGGCAGTGATCGATTCCGGGGAGGAAATACTAGTGACTTGAATTCCCCTAAACCTAGCAATAAAGCGACATGTTTATAGGTCCTTATTTCCTTTACATACTTCCTAGCGATTCGATTTTCTCCTAATTATACGGTCTGCCAGCAAGTATAAAGGCTGATTACTATACAAGTCGTATTTCCTCGCTACGCTCGGCATAGGGGCCCGGGGAGGAAAAATACATATATAGTTCATAGCGGGTGGGGAGCGCTATAGAAATGCCGGGTAACTTTTCCTGAATTCTCATCAATCATAAGTACATTATAGTAATTAAATCACTTGAGATACGTGAGGGTCTTGGCCATCTGAGTTTTGTTCATGCCTTCTGGAAAGCCATAACATGTGTTCCAGCACAATCATCCGTCAATCCCACTGTGCCATAGACTCGTTTATGCGCAACACATTTAAGCCCTGCACCCTCGGCCATCTTAATCAAGTGCCGCGGATGTGTCTTTTGTTCCACCTCATAATCGAGCCCTGCCACTAGAGCTTGCAATTCGAGCCACTGCAGTCGCCAGAACGAAAGATGTGGGTGAGACACTTTGGTTGTGAACCCATGGCGCTCCGCTCGGGACAGTAATTCACGGCAGAGACTTTCCGCCTCGTCAACCATACCAGTATCAGCATAAAACTTGGCGTGCGGGACTGTGTTATTGAAATCGTCGACAAATTCTCGCTCCGAGGGTGTTCGGGGATCGACGTCCATAGCGGGCCAGGGAAAACAGAGGGGAACCATGTACGCAAGATGGTGGCGTAGCAGGTTGAGGTGTCGTTCTTTACGAGTTTCGAAGGGTGAAATCATCTCATCCGCAATAAACCAATAGCCTCCCGGTCGTAGCCACTGTGCGCTGCGTTGAAGAAATCCGTCAGTGTAGAAGTGATGGGATGCTCCCGTTGACATGATATAATCGACTTCTCCCGATTCCACCGGCACACACAGGAAGTCTTCCCGCAGACATGTAACCATCGTGCCATCTTTGAAATGATCGGTAAGGTATTGGAATGCAATATCACTGGGTTCGATTGCCAGAACTTCCGTCTGTGGGAGTAGTTCTAGGAATGCGAGGAGATTGGTGCCTGGACCAGGTCCGACATCGATGGCCCGAGGACGAGGCTTCTTGACGAATCTGGTCACTAAATCCGCCAGCGCCACAGTTTGACGGAAGTAAGCGGGATGCACTAGCTCGAAGAAATTGTAGTCATCAACCTTGATGCGCTTTTCAAACGTCGCCGCGGCATGCCTCGTGTACCCGTTGAGGTCGACGCAACCACCAGCGCTTTGTTGCATTTTCATGATAGCTTTCATTGGCAAGGTTGGAGACCCTTGGAACGTCAAGATCTCCGCAGCTAGCGTGGCCAGCAGAAGGCTGTTGGTGTGGGCGATCGACGTCAGCTTGTTCTCGATGATAGCTGCTTTCTCGGGCAGAATACTGCGAAGTAGGCGATTGTCAAGCTCGTTTGCAAGTCTGTACAACACGTCCGCAGTAGGTGCCCCGTTCTCCATGTCCGATATCGCGCTAAGCAGGCTGCTCAGGGATGGGCCGTGCGTATTATATTGGCGAGTGGATAGCAAGATAAGTATCGGCTGGCTATCCTGCACCAGATATGGACGAACCGCCCATCGGTAGGGGTCTGCGAGTGCGTCCAATAGTGCATTCTCTACTCGAATGCGGACAGCGGACGCGTTCTGGCCATCGGTGTAGGTGAATCGTATTTTGTCCGCAGCTAGGCCGTTGCTGACTTCCACAAGCGATTGGCGAATTTTGTCACGGATCGCTTCATGGGACAACACGCTTATATTGATCGTCCTCTCGTTTTGGTAAGAGGATACTGGGGCTTTCCGGTGCAGGAGGCTTCCACTTCCATTAGCCGACGGCTGTGATGAATCCATTTCAATCATATAGAGGGATTTCTTGTACTGAAGGAATGCAGTTGGATTCGGAGAGTTGTATCTTGTAAGAGGAGCAGTCGCAGGTGCGGACGTCCAAGAGAAGGAGAGAGATATATATGCTTACCATAAGGGACGAGGATCAACTCCATTCGACTTGTACGTTCTTCTAATGAACGCTTGATGCTACCTGCGTCATGATTTGATCGTAGTAGGCTATATCATAACGCCTTACCAGGAGTTCAGTGACTCAATTACACCTACTTAGAAGTCCCCTCCCAAAACCCGCGATACCTTTCTCGCTTTCTCTATTGGCCAATTGCCCTACAGCCTAATGTTGCCGTCATAGTTCAACGTGTCGACCAATGGGATTTGACGCTAAACTGGCACACCAGACAAGGGGATATCATATAACTTACAGGTATATAAGTCCCGTTACTCGCCAAACCTCACCACTGGGTTACACAATGCGTCACTCTCGACTCTCCAATTCAGTTTGTTCCCATGCTCACTGCCCTGCATGTAGATTTCGCGTAACCCTATCCTACTACCTTACCATCCAGGTTACAGCTGAGCGAGGCCCGAAAAAATCCTCAGTAGTGCCCAAAATTCTGCCACCGCCCTTGTAACTTGTCTAGTTATTTAGGTCTCGGTTAACAAATATTACCGTTTAAAAATTTGAAAAAAATTACAAAATTATTGTACTAGCTGATACCGATTAGAAGCTATAAAAGAATTAGTGTATTTGGTATTTGTCTGTCGCCTTAGTATTATTGATAGAAAGGGGTGCTGAACGGGACCCAAAGCTTTAAGCATAATTTTAGGCGGTGGCAGAATTTAGGGTGCCACCGAGAGATCTTTGGGTCCCGCCGAGCTGTAGTGATGCCGCTTACCATCCCATAAATGCATGCTTCTTTCGGTGTTCGTCCTGTCTCCCTTTAGACACTACCTTGGTACTCCCTTAAAATTGTCCATAGTCTCAGTATTTAAATGATGAGCTCATTGGAATCACATCTTCTCTGCTGTAAAGAATAAAATTATTGCTGAATATATCTTCCGAACGCATTGAAGTTACAAGCCTTACCAGTTTGTATAGCCGGAAAGCAAGGTAACTAAGAAAAGCCCCACTGCCCACTCACCTCCATAAGCTACTGCTAATCCAATTGAGACGTCGGGTTTATTAGGTCGACGATCTCTTTTATAGGAGTCGCTATAGCAAATCCCCTCGACCAGCGACAATGCATGGAAGATCGGGAAAAGGATCGCTCGCTCTACTGGCCAAATTTCTGGACCAACGCCCTCAAGTAGAGTTCATAAGATATCAGTGGATCGATTATGTCGGCATCCTCCGTGCCCGTGTCGTGCCCGTCTCCAGCGCACGTAAACTGGCCGCCACAGAATCCCCTCTTTGTGGAGGACCGATATGTATCACAGCGACCAATATCATTCGCATGATGGAAAATCGCTCCCATGTCGGCGTCGACTCCATCTACCCCGACTTCTCCTCCCTACGCGAGTGCCACTATGCGCCAGGCCACGCCAGTGTCATGTGCTTCATATCCGAAGAGGGCATTGGATTTGAAAGGGATCCGAGAACACTTCTAACCTCGGTCTTGGCCAGTGCGCCGCGTCTCCAATTCAAAGTCGGATTCGAAGTGGAATTCCGCTGCTTGACGCCCGACGGGAAGGATCTAGATGACACCTTATATTCCTGGTGGACAACCACGGGATTACGGAACCGTTGCGCGCCCATCATCGACGATGTAGTCCGCGTTTTGCAGCGCGAAAACATCGAGGTTTTACACTACTGTTCGGAGTCGGGCCTGGGGATGTTTGAAATATCCACCGGCCCTCTGTCTCCGCTGGAATCGATTGACGCCTGGGTGTTTACGCGAGAAGCAGTCAAATCTCTCTTTTGGGAACGCGGTATCATTGCCACGATGTACCCTTCCCCGGTGGAGGTTCATACGGGGATTGGGGCCCACTTCCATATTTCCATGACGTCGGACGTGGAGGGCGATGAAAACGCGTTTTTGGCGGGGATGCTAGATCACTTAGGCGGATTATGTGCCCTGACGATGCCGTTGGAAGACAGCTACAAACGCGTGACGGATCGAAAGTCGGAAGCCGGTTGCTGGATCGGCTGGGGTACCGAGAATCGGGATTTCCCAATCCGCAAAGTGAAGACGGGACACTGGGAAATTCGATGCTGCGATGCCACCGCGAATATGTATCTGGTCGTGGCGGCGTTCATCCACGCCGGGCTGGGAGGATTGCGGACCGGAAAGCAACTGGTGTGGCAGGATTTCAATGGCAACCCAATCGCACTGGATGAGCAAACGAGGAGAGAGCTGGGAATTACGCAGCGGATGCCATCGGATCTCAGCGAGAGTCTGCGTGAATTGGAGAGGTGGGAGGGAGGTGCGATGAGCAAGTGTCTCCGCACGTTCTGCGAGATGAAAAAACAGGAAATCCGGGATTTACGAGAGTTGTCGGAGGAAAAGAGGATGAGGATCATGATTAGACATTTTTAAATCTTACCTAAGTTCTGGAGGGCCTTTGTACCTGTGCCGAAGCTATTGTCAAGGTGTTGCCACTGGGGACTTCCCATGGATTGTCGGTGGAAAAAGTTTGCGCGAGATGACAAAGCCTCAATCTTCAAAAAGCAAAAAGAAAACGCCCCTGCAAACATTTTCTGAATATCACTTTCAAAGACGACACGATAGAAACCCCTTTTGAGCAATATGAAGTGCGATACTCCCACTCCCTTCGGCGCTCCAATGCGGAAGCATTTCCTCATTGATCCCGACTTTGTAAATCTGAATCACGGTAAGTACTACCTAAAAAGAAACCTTCGATCTATTTGCCACAATATTTACAGTGTCAGGGTCCTTTGGAACATACCCAAGCGCTGTCCGAGCAGCCTTGCGAGGATTTCAAGACCAAGCTGAAGCACGCCCGGATCCATTTATCCGTTATACCACCCCAAGGGCTCTTGATGCATCCCGAGAGGCAATAGCCAAGATGCTCAACGTGCCCAGACAGGAGTGTGTCTTTGTGAAAAACGCCACCACGGGCGTAAATACCATCCTTCACAATATCCCCTTTCAATCGGGTGATGTGATCATCTATTTTGAAACAATCTATGGTGCTCTGGAGAAGGGGATATCCTCTCTCATAGAGTCAACGCCACTCCAAGCACGGAAAGTCCAATACCGGTGTCCGATTAGCCACGAGGACTTAGTGGAGCAATTTCTTGACGTTGTGAGAAAGACCAGGGCGGAAAAGTTGAATGTGAAGATTGCGCTTTTCGACATCGTGTCCAGCCTGCCGGCCATGCGGTTTCCTTTTGAACGGTTAACAGCTGTGTGCCGGGAAGAAGGGATTCTGAGTCTTATCGACGGCGCACATGGCATCGGCCAAATTCCTCTAGATCTGGGAAGACTACAGCCGGACTTTTTTACTAGCAACTGTCATAAGTGAGTCTCTTTCCATTGCTGTTTAGATGTCCCACCCAAATGTTGACCTCTGGAATTCAATGTATAGATGGCTTTTTGTTCCACGCAGCTGTTGCGTCCTCTATGTTCCTGAACGCCACCAGCATTTAATTCGCACTACGGTTCCCACCTCATGGGGTTACATCCCTGCCCCTGGCGGTCCTAAGACCTCTCCTTCTATTATGAAAAGCGATGACCCGTCCAAAACCCCGTTCGAGAGCCTATTTGAGTTCGTTGCAACGAATGACGACACACCCTATCTATGTGTCCCTGCAGCCTTGAAGTTCCGCAACGAGATTTGCGGTGGCGAAGAGCGTATTTACACCTATCTGGAGACATTGGCAAATGAAGCTGCAGATCTACTGGCAGCTGCCCTGAACACCGAAGTTTTACAGGAACCAACCGCGAAAAAAAGAGCACAAAGCCAACTGCGACGCTGCGGCATGGCAACGGTTCAGCTACCCATTGCTATTCAGGGAAGCCCAGAGCCTGTCAAACCATCCTACCTCCTCCTACCAGCAGACCAGGTTGCTGCTACGATCAATTGGTTTCAAACCACCCTCGCGTACAAGTACGGAACTTTTGTGCCGGTTTTTGCCCATGGGAATTCGCTTTGGACGCGACTCAGCGCACAGGTGTATTTGGAAATAAGCGACTTCGCATGGTTGGCTGGGGTTCTGAAGGAGATGTGTGGCGAGCTCAAGAAGAGACAAGGCGATATGGATCAGCGGTTGCAATGACAATGGCTATACTTTCCGGAATGCACTGCATCCATTTCAGTCTGCTGTGGTAAATCCCAGTCCTCTCAGGAAATGATGGACCGACTCAAATAGTACAATTAACTCATATCTATGGAGCTTGGTATTTTATAAGAATCTTTTAAATATTTTTTTAGCTGCGGACCAAGGGTATGAGAAACGAACGCAATAGAATATGACGAGTTTTAATATCAAATTTCTCGTGATACCAGTATGAAGGTTAACGTGATGAGGTGATATCGTATAACCAGCTGGCAGAATCGCTGATAGCCACCGACAACTGTCGAGCTAGGAGAATGAATTAGGGTCAGACCATACCTATACTTCTACTCTCGATACCGTCGGAAATGAGGGAATGTACCAGCAAGCCCCGACAGCAAGGACGATGACCACTGCAGGCAAAAAAAAAAAAAAAGCGGTAGAATTCCCGCTTCGGAAATCCCCCGCAGTATCCTATGGCGTTCTATACTTCCGTCGCATGACAACTCGCAGGAACGTCCATATTTTTAACCAGCTACGAATGCTGTTTGTCTGGATAAACGGGTATCACAATACAACAGGACAATCCGTTCCCCCCTCAATCAATCGAGATCGTGGAAGGCCATGACCGCCTGGCCGCCCCCGCGCTTCGGGGTCTTGCCCTTCTTGCGCTTCTTGCGGGCATCGCCTCGCTTGTTTTCTTGATCACTGTCGCCCGAGTCGTCATCGTCATCGCCATCGTCGCTATCCTCGTCACTGTCGTCACCAAATGCACGCTTCCCTCCGGTCTCATTCCCGTTCACGCCATCGCCAGAGTCCACCGCTTCATGCCAGACCTTGACAATCTGGCCACCACCACTGACCATGCGTCCCTCAACATCGAATCCAAGTCCCACCACACCCTCCGTCTCGTCATGCATGACCTCCGACACCACGCGGTTAGCGCCAATCCGGACAAACTTCACTGCGCCATTGCCCAGTCCGACGGCGACCATTTTGCCCTTGCCCAGGTCATCCGGAACGACAGCCAGCGTCTCCAAGGACTCGCCGCCGCCAGATTCACGCTGTACGTAGACTCGCTCGTCCTGGTCATCCCATGCGCCCTTCTCCCAGAGGGTCAGCACCCCACCAGATCCACCCACAACCACCTTCGCGCCGCGGCTCGTCCCACTCGAAGGCAGGCCGTCGATGTATACGGAGCTGACCAGCTCCTCTTCCTGGTCCTCGCTGCGCACGAGCACGCCTCGGCGGAGATCAGTGACGGCCAGCGTGGTGCCACCCGTGGTCACCCACTGCTTGCTGAACCCAGACGTACTCGTGTCGGAGGGAGGCAGCGGCGTCAAAGACGAGATGTAGTCGTCGTGGGGGTGGTGCGACTGCTCTGGCCGAGCCGAGACTTTCGAGTAGGGAATGCGTAGATCATAGAGGTGTAATGCGCTGGAGTCCGTGGCGAGGAGGAGGGTCTGCGGGGAAAGAGCGTGGATGATCGTCGGGGCGTCGACGGAGCTACCAAGATCAGCAAAGCAAAACAGAAAAGAGAAAAACAGGCATGCAATCAATTGGACCGTGCAATCAAATCAAAACCCATTCACTTAATCCTAGAGAATAGTCTAACTTACCCATTCTTGTCCAGCGGGATAGCAATCTTGTTCTCAACCACTCCCGTCTCCGCCTTTGCGGCCTTCACCAACCCATCCGTTCCGGCAGAGTACAGCATCTCCCCGTCAACGCCGAACCCCAAGCACCGACAGCTCCCCTTGTGTCGTCTCGTGCGCCACATTGTATCAATGTGTCCGCGTCCAGTTCGGGACGAGGACGTCGACGCCCCGTCATCGTCGCTGTCGACTTCGTCGGACGGGAGCCGAAATGTCTGGACGTGCCCGGAGGACAGTCCCACAGAGACCACCGGCTCTTTGGGGTGGAGGGCCTGCGAAAACAAGTCCGCGGAGAGCGGCAAGGTGCAGACTGTGTCGAACATGGCGATCTGGTAATTCGGGCAAATGTGAGGGAGTTCCGCTTGCTTTTCGACTGGCGGCGCAAACTGGAAAATGTTGGAGCTTTCCGGATCCTTACCCTTTTAGGACAGAGCGGGCCGACGGATCTTCCGCAGCCCTATCGCTCTGCCCTAGCTGTCTCTCCAGAGTACCACCTACCCTCCTAGGTAACTCTTCCTACGCTCTTCACTCTACATTGGAAGTCATTCAGAAGCAAACTTCATCTCTTATTTATACTAACTCAGGACATAAATGAAGGAAACACGCAAGCAATCAGCAAGCAAAGTGATATCTTCCTAAGATACACAAGTCTAACAGACCGACCAATTAAGGACAGCCGAGAGAAAGGAACGTCCAGAAAGACCAAGACACCGCTTCGTCTTTCCTTCGAAATATGTACACAAATGGTCGCTTTATCCTGGTCACTATATGCACCATTTTCATAGCTCGCCCTTGCAGTAGCCACTCGCCCAGCGCTTAGGCGGTGGAGTTGGAGCTATAGGTGGAGCCAATCGGTCCAAACTTGATCTTGGAGAAGGTCACGGTAGCACCGGGGTGCTGGGACTCGACCGTCTCGGGGTCACCGACGCCGTGCTCGCAGGTACCGCGGGCAACACCGGGCTCGGAGGCGTCAGCGTCCTCGGGGTAGGTGCTGTCGAGCCACATCATGCTGGAGTTGTGGTCATCCCAGATGCTCAGGATGAGGACCATGGCGGACATGGCATCACCCATGCCACTGAGGCCACCATGCTTCGAGAAGATGTCCTGATCTCCAAAGGCGGTCTTCTGGGCCGTGCAGAAGTCGGACGTGATCGAGTTACCGGTGACGCCGTCAACGTTGGACTGAGCGTTGGCAATAACCTTGCCATTCTGAACGTAGAGGCGCTTGATCTCGGAGAGGGATCCACCGTCGCCGATGAACTGGGTGACAACGGTCATGACGGAGTTGGTGTCGACGATCTTGTCGGGGCCGTAGTAGCTGGTGTTGCCCATGCGGTAGGCGTTGAAGTCGCAGCCATCGGGGTCGCAGGTTCCGGCATAGCGGGTCTCGGAGTAGGTGCCGCCGCAGTCATCACCACTGCACATGGTCTGCCCAAGGTCGTCACAAGGATGAGGGGTGAAGGCACTCGAGATGCTGTTCGCTTCCCAGATGTCCAGCTCGGGGCAGCAAGATCCGTGGCCACCGACACCGGCGTTCTTGTCATTATCCGACGGGGTCCAGCCTTCCACGTTGGCCTATCATTTCTGTAAGTGTTTGTCCCTCCGGGGTCTGGCGAGAGGAGTCTTACCATGCCGTTGATGAACTTCAGGTCACGTGGGCACTGCGAGTCACAGTAACCCGTGCCGTACTAAATATTTTGTCAACATACTCGGTATTGTCGACGGGAACGCTCTGAATCGCAATGCTCACCTTGGCGCCGGCCTTGTTGGCGGGGTACTTGGACACGCCACCATCGGCATCCATAGAGGTGAAGTAGAGCGCACCGTTCAAGCCACAAGGGAGGTTGGATACATCGACGTCGAAGGTGAATTCGTTGCCGACGAGATCGAAGGTCTGGTAGCTCTCATCATCCTCGGCCATCAGGTACACACGGGAGCCGACGTTCTCGCCGGTGACGAAGGTGAGAGTCAAGGCGTCGCCAGAGGTGGTGATGCCGTAAGTGCTCTCGTAGTCGGCACCATCCAAAGCGCAATTCGCGGCGCAAGCCTCATTGTCCGGGCAAAGAGACTCATCCCACTATCCAATCCGTGTCAGTTTCTGCGAACACTTCCGCTATTCACTTTGTGTAATCTCACAGTGTTTCCGGTGTAGCAGTTGGTCGAGCCGTTGGTCGAGTGGAGCCAACGCCAGTTGGAATCAATCACGACGCTACCAGACTGCTCGGTGCAGCTGCCGTCGGCGGTGCACTTTTGCCAGGTCAAGGGAGGGTGGACTTCTTCCGTCAGCGTCCCAGCCTGCTGAGCGCGAACGGCTCCGACAAGGGCGGAGAAAAGGAGGGCGCGTTGATGCATAATGAAGGAAACCAAAAAGAATGGATTTTTCTTGCTGCTTGTTGCCTGTCCTGCAGAGGTGATGAGCCGAACTTGGAGGGGCGGGATGCCCTCTTATATACCGTGCCAGAACACTCGGTGATCTCAGATCGTCACGGTCCGCCTTACGGGAAAATTCAAAGCGAAGCATCATAGACGGTGCCGCGGACCGTGATGCCGCTAGGCCTGACTGTTTCAGAGAGATGGAAGAGTGTCTGCATCTCGCGGAACCCCTGTGCTGGGGACCCTGATTGCCACCGTGCACACCGTCTGCCAAGAGGGCAGTATGGTCTCCGATTGGAAATTGTTGGCTTCGGTGGGCTCGCAGCGTGTCAAGAGACTAGCTGTTGTGAGGAGTACTAAGATTAAGGCTAACGGAGGATCCTCCGAAGCTCGTTTTGTCGAGATAGTCTATTGAAGTTTCAGGGGATGTTGCCGAAATGCGCCAATGCCGTGCCTGGGGTGGACGAATCGAGCATTCTTCAACACGGTGTGGGGTTAACCACTGCATAAGCGGCCTATTCCGATATGCCGGACAGCAGGATATCCGTCTTCTCCTCGGCAGTCATGCATTTTCCGGATCCCCAAAGACTCATGATGGAGAGTGCTTCGCTCCTGGTGAGTTGTGTACAGACCCAGGAACCAAATGCAAGGTACGATACCTGGGATGGGACGACCGTCCGGATCAACTAGTGACATGGTGTGACCCTTTCCACTTCCTCGCGCCAACGTTAGGCACCTTTGCGATGCCGGTCCAGTCAATTAGCCTGGTGCCACTTCGCTTCCCTGCAAACGATTGAACCACTGCGGTAGTGCGACAGGAACAGCGCGTTGAAGACTGGATACGGAAGGACAGGGAAGACAGGACGTCTGAACTAAACACTAGAACGATGACGAGGTGGCAGCATGTGGCGTTGATTGGGCGTTGCCCGGGTTCTGAAGCGATGGCGCCGCGATGCAGAGCGAGATGGTCAATGGCCAAACGATAAATTAATCCAGGATGCTGTTAGCGCTGCCGATCCCGGGAATGCGGGGAGAGGATCCCGTCAATTACGATGAGGCGGAAGTGTGATTCCCCCGGCATGCTGGTTTATTCCAAACCATCCAGGTTTCTTTCGGATGCTAGTCCATTCGCAAGTCCCACTCGATAGACTGGAGTCATGCCTTATCCATCACGGACGATGGAAACGGCATGGTGTTGAGCTTGCTGCGACAAGAGTGTTTCGGCATACAACCTCCAGGCGTTCACGGGTATCGTCTTTCGTGAGATATGATGCATTATCATAGACACTGTCGAACTAGGTACAATATTATCAAGCGATGTTAATCACGCTAAAATCTCCTTATTCCTCAGAGTATGAAACGAGGCAACTGTATCCGGCATCGACTGAACGCCATCAACATGGGGGCTTCGTACCTTGCCGATCATTACCAGATCAACCTCTGCCCCAGTCGAGAATAACCGCCAGGACGGCAGTCATCATCTGATTTAGCCGGCAAAATCAGTCCATGAATTCTGCACTCGACAGTGCAATAACATGTGGATTCGAAATGCGGAGAACCCAAGACATGCATTAACCTCTCGGTGCCTGCTTATACAGCTCGGTCCTACTCCGGAGTACGGAGTAGATGATGATCAGAGTAGACGATGATCAGCTGGACTATAGTTGTTGTCCTCCGTGTACTCCGTATCCTGTCCAGGTCTGTTTCATCTCCCTTTCCATCACGGCCTTGTCCGAGTAAACCATGGGATACGAATCACCTTGGCGGAACCGAGTGGTATGCATTGTTGGCACTTTATTCATTCTTTGATCATTTGGAGATTGGTATTGCCCGTGTTGTTTAGGGCTATGTATGCATTGCATGATCGTCGCTATTCTTCAACACAACGTGACCTTTGCATTCGGGTTTTTGTTTGCACCGATTTGTTTGTCATCCTTCCTTGGGTCCCATACCAACTCAGCCCAATAATACTCCTCAGTGTAGACTAGGATTTCTCTGGAGAGATGTTCGGGTCCACAAGGTGATTGTGTATGTCAAGATAATCGCTTTCTTACGGAGTACGACCGAGACGCATACATGTTTGCTGTGGTGAGATTGGTCCCGCTTTATCAACCAAAATCCTTTATGGTCTGATGATAAGGTATTCAAGGTTTGCCCTTAAATGCTCCGAAAATTTTCTACGGTTGAGAGGTAAACCCATCTCGCTGTGATCAGGCGCGTGAAGCCCTCGCTCTCGTTGTGACTATGTGTTGGATTGAGCCTCCTTATAATCTTTGGGTTAGCGCCAATGGTGAAGTAATTGGTTAGAAATAAAATGATGAAGTATGGAGTCGACAAGATCAGCTGTTCGTTTGCGACATACAATAATCCACAGTTCTGCGTATACGACCCTGCCTCGACTCTATTGCACTTTATCAGTCCTGGTATATCCATGTACGTTAGTAGGCGCGTTGACCTGTTGCGTGGTATGATAAATAGCCAATAAATGGCAGCAAGATGAATGATCATAGATCGAGCTTTGAGAAGAGCATGCTGACTGGTAGGATAGACCTGGTCATGATACACCACTCACCGCATTTTATAGGGCGCCTCTGCTCTCTGCGGATAATGCGACTACAATAAGACATTCGGCAGTATTAAAAGGTTACTGGTAACTGCCGAGTTTGCAGGTGACATTGTGTATAGGGTTCGTTCGTGATGACCGCTGCCTGTGATTGTTCCACGAGATATATATCTTTCTTGCGGAAGGATCACTCTACACCAAAACGCAACAACTCAAGATCCTTCGGTACAATAGACACCTGACAACTCTAACATAGATCCTCCTGGTCATTAAAGCATGAACCGATGATTTCTGTGTGTTCCCATGGTATGCGCCCGCCAGATGATTTGGTGAACCTCGGCTCGGCGGGGCCGCTTATCTTATCGCTCCCAACAAAGATCAACCATCTCGGCATCTCATCGCTCTCTTCCTCTTCTCCGTCCGCACATATCTCACCACAGTCTCTTCATTCTCCAGCGTTGTATTTTCATCCTCATTCTCTTTATTCCCTTGTAATTTCTTGTTATAGACGGATAGACTAGACAAAATGGCCTGGTACAACGGCACGATCGATTTCCTATCCGACTCGTTCGCAAACCACCGCCCTGTCTTGGCGGCGACTGGCGCTTCACTCACCCTGGCTGTCTTGCTCAGTTCGCTTTTGAAAGACGATCACCCCAAATCGCTTGTCCTTCCGTCCCCCAAAAAATCCTCCTCCGCTATCTCCGTGGCTGCAGGCGAGACCCCTCTCCCAACCGATGTGCTCCCCGGAGCTCGTGATGTATCCACACCTTATGGATCGATGAGAGTGTACGAATGGGGCCCGGTTGATGGGCCCAAAGTGCTGTTCGTCCATGGGATTACCACGCCTTGTATCGCATTGGGCGGACTGGCGCACGCTTTGGCAGATCGAGGCTGTCGTGTCATGCTATTTGATCTGTAGGTGGTGTCCTTGTCTACCCCGGTCTAACGGAGTAGTACCATTACCCCGGGTGACATGCGCTAATGTTGCGTCAGGTTTGGAAGAGGCTACTCTGACTGTCCCTCGGATATTCCCCAGGACGACCGACTCTTTTCCACCCAGATCCTCCTCGCCCTAAGCAGCTCTCCAATATCATGGACCGGTGAGGGATCCGGAAAATTCGGCTTGGTTGGCTACTCTCTCGGCGGTGGAATCTCGGCGGCGTTCGCATCCTACTTCCCGCAGCTGCTGTCCTCACTGGTGTTACTGGCACCGTCCGGTCTCCTCCGCGACTCCCAAATCAGCTTCCAGTCCCGGCTGCTGTATTCGAAGGGGCTCATCCCCGAACGGGTTCTCGGCTTCCTTGTCGGACGCCGTCTTCGAGCCGGACCGCTGGTGACCCCCAAGCCCAAGCATGCCAAGATCAATGCCGGGGATGCTCTCACGGAAGAACTGTCCCGTGGGGGTGAGGTCCAGGTGTTGTCTCGGGCCTATCCTGATGTGAACGTCCCTGGCGCTGTGAAATGGCAAGTCAGCCACCATGCCGGTTTTGTCCACGCTTTCATGTCCAGCATGCGGTTTGGACCTATCTTGCAGCAGCGTCAACGGGGCTCCTGGGAGCGACTGGGACGGTACCTATCTGAACAGAAGCAGCTGTCGGTGGACGATCAGATTCGCAATGGTCTCCCGTCCGACAAGGTTATGATACTGTACGGCGAGCATGACTCGATCATCGTCAAGGATGAGCTGGTGCCGGACGCCACTTCTGCCCTTCAAGGAAACGTGGAATTCAAGGCGTTCAACGCAGGCCACGAGTTCCCAAGTACCAAGTATGAAGAAGTGGCCGAGTACATATGGGATGTGCTTCAGTGAAGATATCGTGACGACCGAACTGCCTAGGAGGAACTGGAATGGTTTCTGGCAGTGACCTGCACATAGTGATATGATTGTGAGCTGGCGCTGGAATGTCTAATAGAACTGTACATATGAATATTTATTATGCGTCAATCCCCGAGATGCAAATGTTTCCCTCCCCATTTTCTTGGATAGACCCTCCGTCACTTCTTCAGGATTGCTTCCGTGGCGTCGAGCTGGCTCGACAGTCGCGATACATGCTCGGACCGATCTTGCATTCGGGCTCGCGCAAAGTAGGGCTCCTCGGCCGCCGATACTTGGGAAAAGCGCGTGACGATGTTGTTGCGGCTTTCGTCTGGGACGTTGTTCAGATTGCCAGCGCTGAGGCCGGAGCCCATGCCGTTCGACATCCTACCACGAACAATGAGTATATGCGTGCGTCATGGCTGACATGGGGTCTGCTTACTTGGTGGCGTTCTTGTTTCCGGAAGGCATGTTGAGAGTGCTGACGAGACTTAGGGAAGCCGAAGGGTCGTGCGAGGAAGGAAGAGTGATGATGATATGATGGTTCAGGTGAGATGAGGAGTTCGTTCTGCTGCTGGGCTGATGCTTTGCAGTGAGACTTGTTGATGATGAAGAACAGGAAGGAACGGAAACCCTCGTCTTTATGTAGGGTTGAAAGAAGAACAGCCTCCAAGCCTTGTTCTGCCCAGGCTGACGAAGATCCCCAGAGGCGTGGTACAAGAATGGAATGACCAGTATGACGCTGCTGAACTGGTTCTTTTGTCTCAATCCGACAAGAATAGAATGGGAAGCAAAAGGAAGGCACCAGAAACATGGAAGGAATGAGGCAGCGAGATGGAGATCTTCGGCCAGACGACCGTCCCTGGGATCGGATCGGGGACGACCAGACCTGGTTTCACAACACCGTGGACGACGGTCCTTTCTTTTTTCGTCAAGGTCAGGACTTTGTGAAGATGCTCGAGCGACAAAGCCAAGGCCCAGCCACTAATGGGAAATCGGACTCTGCCCTGCGAATCCTGGGCGCCCGCTGATTCGATGGGCCCGGGGAGGTGAGAGGAAATGACCTCAATCGGGGTCTGCGACGTGGATGGCGCTGGGTGTGTTCTCCGAGGAAATTGGACCCAGTGATCTCTGGGGTCGGTCCAAAAAAGGTCCTGCGCCGGGCTCCTTTGGTCCTTCAGGTCGCCGTGGAGGAAAAGAACTCGATCCGGAATGGACGCTCTGGGAATGACTGCCGAGCATGGGCGTACGTCAGGCGCAGTAACCGAGAGACATCATGCCCGTCGTTGCGGTATGTGATCCGGGCGCAATGGGAGAGTCATCTTGGAGCCCTGGGCGCATGGTTGACGTCCGACATCCGTCGTCATCACAGGGACGAACCGGCCAAGCCCAGGGGGTGGGTTCAAGCTGAAACTCGGACAGCTGGTTTGGCAGGACGGTAGACCCTAGATCGAAAGCTTCGTCACGAGTCTAGACCCTGGTCGGAGCTTCTCTTGACCCAGCCTAGGGTCTCTTGTTGGGAACAGTCCGACGGATCGCGGACAGACACACGCATCCACCGTTGGCAAGCGAGGGATAGATACCCGAGTCCAAAACGCTTCTGGGTCTCAACGTGGTCGATCGCAGGGGAGAAAAAGAAAGCAAAAAATCAAAAAGAAACATGCACTGCCACAATCCTGGCCTTGGGGATGCTTTACCCTCATTTCGTGGGAGTTTCCTACGTGTTTTTTCTTTTGCTGCCTGGTTTCGATTTTATTTATTTCTTCTCTGTCGGGCAAGATCGCCGATGACAGCGACTATCAACGTTGTGGTCTGCGTAAGTCCGGAATTGTCCAGTTGCTAACGGCACGATGATCGTGGCTCGTCAGATCCAGGCATTGACCATCCATCTCTCGACATGCAGATAGACCGAGCCTTCTTCAGGCAATGCATCACATCGGGGATGTCCGTCCTCGCAGACAGTCAGGTCTGTTACTTTTTCCAGTCTCCCATCTACTAACGTAACTAACCTCAATCTGGAGGATTAATTAAAGAAGCTCACTAAGGTAAACCTTGACTCATTTGGCTCCGGGGCCAAATACGATCATCCGTTTCACCTCCCGACTAGTGACATACCGAAGGCTGGATGGACCCTTGGATCGACTAATCATCGGTCTCCTCGTTGGCGAGTCAAAGCATCCAAAGCTAAGCCCTCATTTTCTCTCGAGGGACCCAGGGGAAAGGGTCGTGCTACCAGAGATTAAGAGGGGCATCTACAAAAGCAATTATGCCATCTACGGAGTAATCCCAGCCCAGCTGCGAAAGCACTAGGATTAGCGCAAATCAGGGCGATGAGCGCATGAACCCATCCCATCTGGAAGTCGATACGAGGAGCCCGACAATCCGGCAAAGCCCGCCTCTTAACATGGGTTACCACTAAGCTGGGAATGCATCGCCGCTTCCCCAGGCGAAATGCCACAGTCAGACAATGGCTCCACGGACAGGCGCAAGACATCCAAAAAAGGGGGTTCTTGGCATATCGCCTGCATTATTCGAGTATCGATTATGCACTGCCGCCGTTCCCTCTTGGATATGAAACCCTTGAGCGGAGTGTCGATATCGAGGATGAATCAGCTACCAACATCGATGGGGGTTATTTTTGGAGAACCAGATGAATCGTCCCTGGTGCTAGTGAGCCGTGCTAACCGTGAACGATCTAGTCTAATTGCCATCGACGACCCCACGGTTTAATCTGCAAGGTACATTCGGCCTGCAGCGACTGTGTCAACGCGCTCAATCACATTGCGTCGGCCTGTGCGAAGCATGCGGGATCCTTGGCATCGAACGCGATCTGCAGTGCCGCATGAACGGTTGTTCGGTGTTCCTGACGTGAAAGGCGTTGAGAAGCCAGGGGCCCGCGTGTCTTTCTCGATCGAGCAACCGGCGACATGACCCCTTGGGACCTGTCCTGCGCCAAGCATGCCATCCCGCGTGGCTTTTTTTGGTCCAAAACACGACTTTCGAACCGACCCGAACCATGCCAGTAGCGAGAATGCCAAACCCAACGCCAGATAGAGCAACGCAAGGGCGCAAACGCCCATATCTCCTGTCACAAAGCCAGCGTGTAACGGTCTCTGCCATGGAGAGATCTCCTGTTTGCGTCTGAAAAGGAAGGAATCTGCGATTTGATGCATGTCGCTGATCCGCCCTTCAAGATGTGATACGTATACAATTCGGGCTGACTGACTAATTAGTCTGGTGCCTTCTTTCCGTTGAGTGATATCCCGAGACTTTTACTTTCTGTCAGAGTGTTGCCCGCGCAACTTCCACCGCTCCCTCCCTGGCGTCGTCACGAATAGGGGTAAACAGCACGGCAACGGTCGTCGTCACGATTGGTCCGCCTGAAAACTATACGCTGCTGGCGTGTATTCTAGGGTATGTAAATCCTGGAACGAGCTGACGCCAGCTGGTGACACTTCCCCTGCATGTACCTCGAATGACCGACGGTGTCCGGTGCCTTCAATTGCATCAACAGTTCAGCAAAAGCCTCCACCAGCACTTATTGCGAAGCTCATCTATTCAAGGTGGTACCATGACTCCTACTAGATCAGGAAAAGCGGACAAAGACCTTTCGGGTGCTCGGCACTGTACTTGTTCCCGACGGACGAAAGCGAGGTTACACAAAGCCACCCCGAATGTGATGTGATCCACTACGGATATCTCGCTTGTCTCGCTCATTCTCGGCTGAAACTGCAGCCATGCCATGTGGAAAGAAGCTATGGCCATCATCCGGCCCTAACCTTTTGCAAGCTGGCGCAGCACGACCATGCGCCGGGCCAGTCAAGGGGTGCAGACAGTCAATTACGATCATCCACCGACTACCCTGTTTCACACCACATTCTTCCTTGTTTGGTTTTGAATTAACGTGGCTTGGGCCTGTTACAGTCGCCCACCCCAGCAGCAGAACTCCACTGTTTGTCTCCCCTGCCATGTCCAAGCCCACACACGGCACCAAAGGCCAGACTCGGCTCCCGAGGACAGGAGAGTTTGGATCGTTTTGTCACAGAGTGAGACATCTGGGGGATGTACACAAGGAGTTCCCGCCCTCGTTACACTTCACTAAGTGGATCTGAGATAAGAGCCAACCCTCTAGCCTGCAACATTCCCGCAGCCATCTGCGTCACACTCTAGTTGGAAGTGACTAGGGTGCCTCCGCTCATTTGGTCAGGACCTCTGCAACCGAGAAATGATTCCTGGTTGGCCACGAGGTACGGATGCATAGACTCTGGCTAGCAGCATGGCATGACAGCAGCAAAGCCTGTCACTCCACCGGGCGTGGCATGAGATAGCCAATATTATCCCAGCGATTAGAGCCATGCAGAGCAAACATGACATGCCCTATTATGGCCCGGCGCAGGATATGTCAGGTCTAATACTCCTTCCCGGCCGAACCGGTGTTCCTTGGGTTTGGTGATATGGCTGAAAGAGCGTCCCGACACTCCAAAGACTCGGTGATTCACGGTGCCTTGATGATAGGTCCGTGGGCGTTTGTTGATGTGTCGTTAGCCCCTGTACGGAATCTTCTTCGTAGGGCTATTTTTTGAACCATTGGGTACGGAGATAGGCTAACAAAGCTGGCCATATGCATACATCCATACGCCAAGAATATCTGGAATGTTAATGTTCTCAGCGAGACTACCACAATCATTTGTTCCTTCTAAGCTTGGATGTAGGCATTCCCTGTCTCGATACTCCCGAGCTGGCTTCGGGGACCACCAGCGGATCACCAGCCCGAGTCTGCAGACCACGCCCAAGCTACTGGCACAGTGGGTGCTCCAAGCGCCATCATCTTGAATCAAGTACCAGGACAGCCGACCCACAAGCGGCGCGTGATGATTCATGGGTGACAACGGGCAGAATTGGAGCGTTGGTGTGGTGTTCCCACACTCGTGGCCTGCTGTATCCAAACACATTAGGGATCTCTCAAGGCAAACACGAAGGCAACCGTGAAGGGTCTGACCAGACCGTCGGCACAAAAGTCGAATCTGTGATGGACGCCGACTCCATCCCAAGCTCTCAACGTAATGAGTTCCGGGTTGGAAATATCGCGCATCCGGATGAGCCTTCCACAACCGCGCCCAATCGGATCCAGCCCGTTTTGAACAAATGGTGCCCCCACGCAGGTTTGCTAAAAGGAACCCAGCGAGAGAAGGCTGCACAAGAAGTGCCAGATGACTCTTTCTATCAAGGCCTTGTTTGTCACCCGTATCCATTGGACTGGTGGTGTGTCTATCGCCTTGATTGGAGGCGGAATAGACGCCGAACTTGGCACTTCACCTGCTGTGTACCTATTCCCACGTATATATCCCTGTTCTGACGTGATGTCTAGGTGTTTCTCTTTCTTCGGAGTTGTTCTCACTGGTGGTTATTGTGATGGTTGGGTTTTCATATAGGCGCCGTCAATATTGAGATAGATCACGATATATGAGTGGCCGTTTGTGTTTGCCGCTCAATAAGGTCACATTGAAAGATCGTGTTTGCCATCCTCCCCGACTCGTCAGTTCTATGGCCATCTAGCACGTCGTGGGGGTATAACTGATCCATAAGAGGGGACTTGGCCACGACCGCATGGATTCTGCTCCGTGGGACCCGATAAAATGAATAGATGTACTTTTTTCAAGTTGAGCCTGGGTTTGTAGAGAGCTTCAACCAAGCTATGTGCTTGGTCTGTCCATTTGGTTGATGTGACTTCTGTTGCTGTAAGGTTGTAGGGTCATCAATCTGATTGAGTGTGTGTGAATGAAACAAAAGTGTTTGAATCGCTAGCCTACAATAGACAACCATAATGAAAGTACATGTTGCTATGTCGTGGTGATGATAATAGTTGATGGGAAAGTTGCATGGACGTTGTTGACAGGCCTCGTGCCTTGCTGCCTCAGGTATCTGTCACGTGCACCATCTCGATCGGGAAAGCCGCTGAGTCGCTGGCCATCTACACCGTTCATCCACCATCTGTCACTGTGCCTGATAGATTCCCATGAACCTCTCCTGATTGTCTCTTGTAAATGCGCATTACTGCTGCAGCTCTGATGGCATCGCGCTGAGCGTCGACACTCCCCTTCTATCATGACCGTGATACCATCGCGGGGCAGCGGCTGACAGTGAATCAGAGCGGCTATCTGTAGTTCCGCACGGCGTGGACAATCATCTCGGTATAATCTCAGTGTTATATACTGCCTTTCTATGAAAATTATGTATACTAACATCTTTCAGACGAATACAATAATATCCCCACAAGTGCCCAGAATGGAACACCAGGCCACTCTCAACGACATCCAGAAAGCCGTATGGGACGGCCGACTCCCACTACAGATTACTCTATCTCCCTCAGAAAGTCGATCATACGACAAGACGGACCCATATCTTGTATTTTTCTACTCCCCTTGCTCCTAAACGCAAATACTAATCCTATGGCAGATCTCGTACCCCCGAATATCATATCTCCCATCGCTACTACCAAGGCTGCACGCATTCTTCTCATCCTCATTGATTGAGCCAACCTCAAAGCCTCATGATGGGTGGTTCTCCTTCGAGGGCGTCCCATTGAAATGGCATCTGCCCGTCGGACTCCTCTACGACCTGTACGCGGGCGCCGACCCCGCCTCGAAGGGAAGCGGGCCAGCATCCGACGACGAGACCGCGGAATTTCCGCTCCCCTGGAGGCTGGTTGTGCAATTCAGCGACTGGCCGGATGAAGAGCTCGTCCGTCTCGACGCTGATGGCATGGTGATGCATGACGCGTTCATTAATAGCGTGAAAGAGGCGGATTTCATGCGCAACGGGACCGCGAAGGGCATCATGACGCTGTCGAAGGAGGACTCGTCTGGATTGTGGAAGTCTGTTCAAGATGGTACGTTATGTTCCCTTCGTTCTTACAGGCCAGGGCTGGTGATTGACGGCGGCAGTGGACCTCCCCTCCTTCCAACGCATATCCAACATCCTCCTCCCGCCACCGAACCAGCCGTTCCGGAACGTGCCTATTAGATTCTTTCTACCACTTCCTCCTGACTCAGGGGCTCCGTCATTGAAGGTAGTTCAGTCGCCGCTCCCACCAACGCTTCCACCCTCCAGCATGGCCGCAAGCCAGGCGGCCATCTCAAGGACGCCGCAGCCGCAGACCCTGGGGACGGCGTTGCACGCCTTACTCCCGAACTTGTTTCCCAGTCGGAGGACGCCGGTGCTCGCGAAGCCGGTGCTACATGGTGCTGTACTGCCGATGTCCGCGCCAGTCGAGGAGGTCGTGAGGAGTTCAGCGTATGGGGACGGGTGGGTGTACATTGTTGTTCGGATGATGGGGTGAATCGATTTATCTGTGATACGCCGACGTGGTAGAAACAACAGGGTATATTTTCCAGCGTAGACAATATCCAATTTCCCGGACAAGCTCACCTGGTACGTGAGATCTCATGGTCCTGAAATTCGGGCACGCACACATATTTTAGTCGCACCCTGCGGCTGGACCGATCGTAATCCGCCCCCATAACCGCCTTTTCCAGCCAGAACTCTGGCAGTTCACACCCCCGGCGGAAACCACGCTCCGGCGGGAACCTGTACACGAAGAAGTCTTTGACGCCACGGCACGGATACATGTACCTGAACGCACTCTGACACCAGGCATCTATCCTGTCCACGCCCTGCCACGAAGAGATCAACTGCACGACCTGCATCGTGACCGTGAGCTTGTGCATCGTCGAAGCAGCCGCCACGCGACAGATGGCAGCAGCGAAGTCCTTGACAGTTTTCGCTGCGGCACCACGTTTGGTCGGCAACACGTCACAGTGCAAGAACGCAACATGCTTCAGATACTGCGGCGGGAACGCCCTCTCGCAGTTGACGACGCCCGGGTTGTCGACCAGACGGAAAACATTACCGGAGTAGAACACGCGGAAGGCCAGCTCGCTAAAGTCATCGCTGACCCGGAACATGTTAACCGGGTAGACCCATTGCGGCTCGCGCGCCGAGCACCAGACGTGATGGGGGACGTTCGTGCAATCGAGTCCGACGCCGTCCAGGTCGTACCTCGAGGGTATCCAGACGCGTTTCACCCACACCAGCGACATGGGCGCGATCAGCTCCGTATGCCGCAGGACGAGCTCCTGGAGCTCCCCGGGGAGGGCTGAGAAGTTGAACCTGCGCTCGTTTTTGGGCGCGGCCGTGAGCGCGCCGAGAGTCCTCGCAAGCGGATATCTCAGCCGGAGATCCACGCCGGGGCCCAGACAGACCGAGCAGCGTCGCAGCGGCGGCAGGAGTCTCAGGTTATCCACGAAGAGGGGGCACAAGACCGGGCCGAGCCCGTGCGCGACGAGCACAAGGTCCAACGCGTGCGGCGTGACGTGCGGTGTAAGCTGATAGCAGAAGCGGACCCATTCGCGGAGCCAGATCTTTTCCCTGCCGGGGAGGAACTCGACTCGCAGGTGGCGCAGGCGTTTGATGGCGCTTGGAAGCAGGGGGAAATCGCCAAATGCGATTCGATACACGAAGATGCTTTTGGAGAAGCCTTCCCCCGGGTCGAGGTGGAATGTCTCGCCGTGCCCTTTGTGAGGAGGATCGGCTCGGATTGGCTCGTCTGGATGGTTGGTGTTTAGCTGGAGGTGCACGCCCCAAGATAGTTCCCTGGGAAGTGCATTCAGCAGTACGCTGAAGGTCTCGGTGTGCGTCGAGGTATTCATCGTTTCTTGACTGGATCTTGTTAGGTAGGGACTGAATGGATGACTTGAATTCTGAGGTATAACGGGAGTATGGATCAGATGTGCATGCTAGCAGCAGGGAGGGAGGTGAGCGATTATAGCTCTGAAATTTTCCAACTTTGGTAATGGTGAAATGAAGATGAAGTACTTGCTTCCGTCACCATGACAGATAAAGCTAACTACCTCAGCTATATGGAGAGTACAATAGTGTTTCATGTTTTCTTTGGGATTGACCAACTCCTCCACATTTGTTCTTAGTGTTACATACAGTGAGCAACCAAGCATAATGCGATAAAAACAGAGCAGCGGAAACATGAACCACGCAATCTGGGGTAAATACCTATATAGGCAACTGGGGTATCTGACAAGGCCGTCCTGCGACGATGCGTCTTATTTCGTTCAGTCGTAACAAAGGAAAGGACAATGCAATCTGGAACCAATGGAACAGAGGAAATGCCATGGTGGATTAAGGGCAAACCGATAAGAAATGTAACTCCAAACACTGCAATCAAAGCCATGAAAGGGGAGATCATTGCAAATTAGGCTGGAGGCAGGTCCAAAGAGACCTCCGATAGGTTCAGATGAAGTTTCCATTGACCTGGACTTCAGCGCCGCCTTCTTTACCCTTCCGGAGAGCTTTGGCGAGCATCAACTCGCGCATCCAGTCAATACGCTCGTCACGGGTTTTGACAGCAAAGTGGTGGCTCTTAGCTCCATTGTGGCTAAAGATCATCTTCTTGTCCTCCTTAGCGGAGGGAATCAGGGAGAAAGCGAATGCCGCATCATCCTTGCTGATATTGTGGTTGTTCCGGAGGATGGACTTCTTCAAGGCCGCCGTGAGCTTAGAGCTAGACGCCAGAGAGGAACACGCGACGGCGTAGTCGTCAACGTCAATCTCTTCCAAGGCCTTGGAACGGCGGAGCGCCGCGAGCTCATCCTTGTGCATCGCAAGGTTGGTTCCACGCAGAGTGAAGTGAGCATCCTGCCACTCGTGGCGAAGGAAGCGCGTCTGCTTTCGCTTCTTCATGTATCCGCTCCGGGTTACGTCAGGGTCCGACGACAGGGACGAGCAAGAAGAGCCCTGGTTGTGGAAACCAATGCGGGGGGTGCCCTGCAGATCAGCAGGGTCTTCAATAGGGGTGAGGGGTCGGCCTTCTTTGACTCGACGGAGGGTCGACGCCGCCCGAGGTCGGGTCGAAGCGCTACGCATCACGGGCTCTTGATAACGAGCTTGCATGAGGTTGCCGTAGCGCATGTCTGGCGGGACCGACTGAGAGGTCTCGCGGGCCACCGGTCCATCGGGTATCGCTGTTACGGGAACATCCATCTCGGAGAATGGAGTTCCCTGGCGATAGTAGTCATCGGACCCCATGTATCTTGCCGAGGTGAATGGTCCGTACTGCTGGACAGTGGTTGGAGAACCGTAGATCTGGTTCACCATGGATGGGGTGATTGTCCGCTGAGCCGTAGCCGTAGTTGGGTCGTCGGAATCCGAATCCGTGGGGATGGTCAGTTTGGGGAGATTGCGAAGGTTTGCCGCCATGTGGTTGGGGCGCGTGTCTGGCGGAGACAAGACTGGCATTGGGTTCTGCGCAGGAGGGCTAATAGAGATGACCGGTTTGGAGGAAGGCTCCGTCGGAAGTTCCGAGTCGGATGAAGGAGATTCGACATGCTGATAGTTGAGGAACTGGCGCACGCTCTCCTGCCGATCGACCTTCTTCACTTCATTCAGAGCCTCCTCACAGAGCCGAGGGGTCTGCTGAGCGGGTCCAAGGACGTCTGATGAGGCGACGACGGAAGGCTCGGCTTCTGATGTCGGCCGCAGCATATTCTGTGCTGTGGCCGGGTTCCCGGGGTTTCCGGTAATGATAGTACCCCCTGGGAGCCAAACGGCGTTGGGAAACTCGGCCGCGAGCTTCTCCAGCTGGCGCTGGCGTCGTCGGAACTTTGGACAGTTCTCTCCCTTGGAGCAGTTGTGAGGCTTGGGGAGGACCTGTTCGATGCCAACGATCGAGACGGACTCTCCCGGAGTCACTTGGCTCCCATCACTTTTGAAACCCCGGGAGATGACCTCTCCAGTCGGCGACACTGACATGGCGTAAGAGCGGCGACTAGGAGAGCGGCTTTCAGGGCGCTTGGTTTTCATCATGGTGTTGCGCAGGTGATCGATCGAGGTCATGATCTGATGACGCTTGCCAAAAGATTGGATTCCAAGCTCTTTCAGGTCATCAATCTGAAGGCTCAGAAGAACAGAGCCTGTAATATCATTGATGAGAAATTGGTCAATCACGGTGCCATCATAGCCAGCGATGTGCATCCAGTGCGCTACCTGGCTGGGAGACCACTTTCGGATCTCCGCCTCCTCCACCTGCGACACGTCGGGATGCACCGTTGCATATGCCTGGGGTGTGCATGGGGAGAACGCATATCTGGTGCTGGTGGTCTCCGTATCGGATTGAGGAAACTGGGATCCGGTGCTGGATTGGGGGAACTGTGATCCAGTGCTGGACTGAGGGAACTGAGACGCGGTGCTAGACACAGCAAATTGGGTTCCGGTGTTTGGAGTCGCCGCAGTTGAGCGAGTGAACTGAGATTGAACGGGCGACCTCTCGAAGTAGAGATCGATTTCTGTCGAGGCTACGGAGCCCGAAGAAATCGAGTTTCTGAACAGATGAGGGCCACTGGGTCCTTGAACGGACTTGTCATCGTGAAAGGTATAAGGGTGCTTTGGGGCGTCGTCGGGAGTTGGCGGGTCCGGAGTGGAAATTGAGGAGTTGCTATCGTAGCCTAACTATACGGATGCGATAAGAACATGGTACATAGATATAAGGTTGTCCTGTATCAACTTACCGAGCCCATACTCACACGAGGAGATTCTTCCTCAGTGTCACTGACTTCGAAGTCCGTGTCATCAAAATCAGTGGTGGTCGATTCACGGTTCTTGACCACCGTCCAGGGTGGGTAGAAGAGTGCTGTGTTTGCCATATTGAGGCACGCCGGAGGGGCCTTGCGCCTGGCAGTACGCCGAGCCTCCTGAGAGCTGTGTCAGTGTTATGTTGATGAATATCAGGCTAAAGGCCTGTTCCTGTTTGCATCTTACCATATTCTTTGCGAGATACTTGGTTCTTCAAACACAATAAACAGGCAAAGCCGACACTGTCGGTATGCGGGATTTCAGAGGATATTCGCCAGATGAGGCGAGTCTCTATGAAAAGGCAATCAACACGAAGAAATGAGAACAGGAACGATGGAAATATGGGTATCACAAGCATGGACTGCTAGATGCAACCAGCAGGAAGAGAAATGAGAGGAAAGAGTCGGAAGAACGGGGGCCTTGGGGTCCTCACCGTATAAGTAGATAGCCCAATCGGACTGTGATTGCTGTGATGAGCGCACAGCGGGGGTTGGGGGGGGTGAAACATCACTCCGGCGACAAGCCAGACTGACAGATCGAATCAGTTGGCGGCACATGGAGGAAATCCGACCGTGGCATGCAGCGATGGTGAAACGTAGCGGCAAATGTTGAAGGACGAGTGGTGGGAGAGGGAGTATGGGAAGGTGATGGAGGGTGACGACCTTGCAGTAGCGTTAAGCTCACTGCAGAGATCGGACGTGGGTCGTATCCAATGACGCCGTGCCGAAGGAAGGAATCCTGCAGACCGTCCGGGCGATACGAGCGATGAGAGGCCGGCGGGGCTTTTCTACGCGCCGGCCAGGCGGGGGTGATAGCGGTGATGGCGCCCGTGAATGGTGGAGAGCTTAGCGCCCGCCGGGCCTTGGCCCCCCGTCGTCCCCGGACCCCTCAGGCCCTTGTCGAGCAATGGCATTCTCTCGCTACCCGCCCGCCTCGTTTTTTTGTCTGCTTCATCGCCCAATCCAGGATAACGGCCGGTCCGAATCACGCCCTCTACCTCGAGAATTTCGTTCATTCGCTTATGGGAAGCTCCTGGCGCCAATATTCATGGGAAATCACGCTCCAACCAGGTGTCCATTCCAGGTTCGTCCCCTGCAGGGTGTGATGGCGAGAATCCTCGAGAGGGGTACTGTGTAGGTCGCTCGAATTGGTCTATATAGCGAGGGAGCTTCCCATCCCAGCTCGGGACTTCGTCTCGCTAGAACCCAAGTTCTGTCCTTCCCAGCATCTCACCACATACAGAATACACTTTGTACTCTTCCATCAATGCATGCCTTCTCCTTCTTTCCCTTCCCCCATTCCTTAGATTGTGTCTTGGGGCTACCTGCGCACCCCTCGCCTGAATTGACGTGGCTGTCTGCTAGAGGGGGGGCTGGTATGGCGTCTGCAAAGGGTGTGATTGCTGTATATTGATGTGTGAACAACCTGCATTGGTGCAGAAGTACCGGTTTGCTTTACGTTCCAATATCAACTTGTCCCTCCAATGAGAATAGAATCGTCTGGGGAACTCCGGCATCCCGTAGTTAATTTATGCATTAATTTCCGATTCCCCAGTTAAGCCATCCCCCCAATTATATGATGTCACACCGAATGCCATGCGGTTTGGTGTTCGACGGGGTAACATAAGCGTGCTCACGCACCATGTCGAGAGTTTCCGGGGAAACAGCCTTGTGTCTTGCTTTATCTACAAGTTCTTTACGGCGTACATCGCGTATGCTCCGAGATCTTGCGATAATTTGTGCTTAAAAGTGTCTGAAAGATAACGCGATATTGATGCGGGAGAAGACCGGTGTTATTGTAGCCGTCACCTTGCAGCGCATGACTAAGTCCAAGTAGTTACTTCGAGGTTGTCTGTCTTGACCGTTCTTCACCAAGGTACCATGTCTACAGACGGTGAGGACCTGGGCATGTGCTATCCTACCCGAGAATATGGCTCAGGAGTATGACCTTGGTCCTTGAAGTTGCTATTCTTGGTACCGACATACCACATACTACCTAGCATAGTCGAGTAAAGGATCTTTTTTTAGCCCGCAGCCGTGCACGGCCAAATGCACAGAATCGGGAGAAGCCTCCCCATGGAACGAACTGCCAGATCTCGAGCGTTTCGGTTTGATATTCTATTAAAAGAACTGTTTCAATCATGCAAGTTTAATCTGTAACTGTCAAAAAGATCTTTATTTAGAAGTGATGATGCTTTTCTTAGACCGGCTTCCCGGCTGCTGGTGACGCCGGTGGGCGTTTAGTCGATATGGAAGATGTTAAGAATAGATCCAACACAAGCCAAAGAGCCTCATTGGCCGTAAATTATAGAGTCTATTGCTTTTGCGGTTTATTGCTTTCCGGGCAGGTATTCAGCAACTCCGATCATTGGACAGATAACTGGGCGATGGCGGCAGGGAGCATCAGGTCCCAGGTACCCCGCATGGATGACGGGGTTGCTCTCTGTTGCTAATTATGACAACTTCCAGAGTTATTATTAGGATAAACCTGTCTAATGCAGTCATTTACGGAGTTTTCGAGCCTCATCCCCTGCATGACTCCAATGAGAATGTCCCGTTTGGCGCCGATATACCGCCCGTGGCTGCAGGATCAGCGGTTAAGAGTTGCTAATTAAGGGAACAGTCCAAGCGTCACGATCGCCCCGCAGCTGCACGGCCCGCACTCCACCAAGGGTTCGTCGGTCGGGAGATGGGTCTGATTGGGTCTTTTCTGGCCGTCAGACAATTGTTATTCCGGCGGAAGGTCAATGGAGTTCGAAGTCTACTGCGTCGGGTTCATTGCAATGATAGAGTTGGTAGAAGAGCAGGAAAAGATGCCTTATTACACGCTGAGCAAGTCCCGTGGAAGCAGCGTAGAATGAACCCCATATTGACGACTCCTTAACTGTCTATAAGTCCAAAATTCAGGTCAATAGCTCGAGAGAAAGGTGTACATCTGCTTGCCGGCGCGTATACAATCGAATTGGGAGCGGCGGAATTCAGGATAAAAGGTGGTCACCCCACCAATCACGGGCGGCCAAGGCAGCTCTAAATGGACCCCTGTCACCCATCGGTTCCTGGTCCGCGTCTAACAGCATGGAGAGCATGCATGATCAACACCATGCTCTTGGGTCCTTGGCTCCATACCATGGCTTCCACCACCTTCATCTATCCCCGAATATCCCAATTTAGATTCCTCACTCGATCCATGTGTGCCATATCTTCACTGATTTGCTGTTTGGCTTCAGTCTCCACTCAGGGTTCAGATGTTCTACCGAGACTTGAAACAAATATCCTCTTGCTGACGACCCCTGGGGTCAAAAAATAGAAGCACAGGGCTGCAGGCTTCATGTCTGAGGATCAATCGTCCAACCATCGCATCTCATGATAACATGCCGTGATGGCTTCATAAAGACCTGAGACGCCCTCCCGTGTTTCACCCTTTCTCCTCTGCACCATCTTCACTTCAATTGAAGGCAGAGGTCACCACATCATCACTTCGACGACGACTTGGTTCATCATCATCTTATACTTTGATTGATATCTCCAACTTGACCTTGCTGTCTCTGGCCTTGATCAGACGAGCTTCATTCTCCCACTTTCGTTGTTCCTGTCTTCTCATTGTCCAAGTCAATCACAATGTCCCACGCTATGCCTTACCCCGTCATGCCCCCGACAATGTATAATCCCACGTACACCGGGGAGTACACTGGGGAGCACACTGGGGAGTATACCGGCGAGTATACCGGGGGCTATACAGAGGAAGCTTCTTCCAATGCCGCGCCCATTGAAGGACCGGAAGACAAGACGAATGAACGTTCATTCCGCAGATCACGCTCGGGTATGATTGCTTCCCTATGAAGCATTCCGTCCATGGAGACGTCTCCCGTTCTTGCCTAACCGTACACATAGGTTGCTTCACATGTCGACTGAGGAGGAAGAAGTGTGATGAGACTCGTCCGACTTGCAATTCATGTGGCAAGCTGGCTCTCAGGTGCGATTACAAGCCCCCACATTGGTGGGCTACCGCCGAAGAGAGGAAGAAGCAGAAGCAGAGAATCAAAGACAGGATTCGACAGACGAAAGTCATGGAAAAACATGGATCGTTAAAAGGTAAGTCGCCATCCACATGTCTTCTCTCGCTGGGTTCCAACATCATTTTTCAGAGTATATGGACCGCGTCCGTGCTCTTATAGAGAAGCCCGCCGCTACAACAGAGTTCAATTTCAACAGTCCAGTGTTGGCGGAGCCACAACAGAACCCCTTCACGACGCCGGCCCCGGCACCAGTTCCTACTTCTATCACAACCCCGGTGAGCCCGTACGACATTAGCATCAAGACTAATACATACATCAACAATGTGCCCGTGCCAAACCAGTCACCCGTCTCTGTTTCTGGGTACAATATGATGAACCCGCCACAGCAGCAACTGCCGTTCACCCAGCCTTCGTCCACTCCGCAGCCGTTGGCCACCGCGCAATGCCTGCCGGCGCAGCAGTCTCTGCCTACTCCGCAGTCTGCGTCTACCGAGTGGTTCAATGCTCCCGCCGCCTATCTCAGCCAGCCTCAACCATACAGTCCTATGGACGCTGTCGGCTTTGGGCTCCCCGGACGGTCCTTGTCCTGGTGCCTGCAGACCATGGTCCCCATTGAAGAAAGTGACAAGCCTCTTCTCAACCATTTTTTTGACTACGTTATTCCTCTGGTCTTTCCCATTGTTGAGGTCAATCATGGAGGTCCCACGCGGGTGAGAGAGATCCTCAACGCTCTTCAGAACAACAAGTCATACCTCCACTGCTGCCTGAGTGTGGCCGCAATCCACCTGAAGACCAGCATGGGCATGGAAGACCAGATGGACCATGACATTATGCAACATCGGTACGAGGCAATCTCGCAGTTGTGCCGCGCTTTGAACTCCAAGGTGGGCAACAGCCAGATGCAGGTCATGGATGCGACGCTCGGTTTGATCTTCTACCATAGCTGCGTTGGGCTGCCGGATGATTATCTCCCGGATATCACATGGTACTCTCATTTCCAGGCCGTGGCAAACCTTGTGAAGAAGCTCAACTACGCACCCACTCAATTCAACGTCTCTCTCATCACATGGATCGACATCTTGGGGTCCACCATGGTGGGAGAAACACCCCAATTCGCTCACACATACCGCACCAAACATCTCAGCGGTACGCCGTCCGGACTGCAGCCACTGATGGGCTGCGATGATCGTATTATGTACCTCATCTCAGAGATCGCGTGCTTGGAGTCGCTGAAACTGGAAGGACAGCTCGACGATATGATCGTACGCCATCATATTTCAGCCCTGAGCGCTCAGATTGACTGGACCGAGCCCGCTGACAAAACCATGGAGTCGCCCTACAACGCAGCAGGCGTCATCGTCCCCGAAAAGCTGACGAAAATTCTGACTGCTCTGTTCCGCATCGGGGCTCGCATCTACCTCTACAGCTTGATCCCTGGCTTTGACCGCCACGAACCAAACTACGTCAACTTGGTCGCATCCGTGGCTGATACTCTGCAGTTCCTCCCGACAGGAGCCAGCGGTTTCGATCGCTGCCTAGTCTGGCCATTGTTCATGGCCGGGGCACATTCTATATCCTCCAGCAAGCTCCGAAAGGTACTAGCTGAGCGGGTTTCTGCATTGGGGTACCTCGGGGACTTTGGAGGCTTCGGGCGGATGTACCGTGTTTTGAAAGAGGTCTGGCGGGTTTCTGAGGGTTCAACATCCTCCTCCACTTCAGGATCGGATACGAATGCTTCAACGCAAGTCAACCCCGTCCAGTACCTGCCACAAACACGGCAGTATCCCCATTGGCGGGATATTATGCGAAAGAACAAGTGGGACTATTTGCTGTTATAAAGAGTAACTTGCACACTTTTGTCGGAGTTGATGAGATCTTGTGGTCGACTTCCCGAGTCAACTTGACTGGCGAGATGGTTCCTTTCTACTTCTATTCTATCTTATTTTATTTTCTTTTCCTTTACGACTCAACGATAGGAGCTGAAGGGGATGATTTCTTATTTTCTTCGTTCGATATCCCTTTACGTTATTATCCTTCTGTTCTTTCGTTCACCCTATTCTGGAGTTTGGACTTTGTTTTCACGATGCTGGTTGGCTATCTAATGCTTTGTTCAAGTTTGATGTTGTAGTCCGGTACTTAGTGTCTCAATTTACATGGAGTTTATATGCGTTTTGCCGTAGCCCTAGCCTTCGTCGATACCAATCAGCACGCTCATTTCCATGAAAGATTGTGTGAGCTGACATGTGAAATCAGGGCATGCGATCTCGACATGCCACCCGCCATATATGTACCTCCCCCCCACCCCACCAAGAGTTCAGATGTCATATTCGTTTCATACTGCCTTGTCACAATGGTGAAGTCGTATCATACACAGAATGTTCGTATGATATTTTAGGACCTCTACTAGGGTTAAACAAAGCATCCCGGTTTCAGACGTGCTCACTCGTTAAAGACTAAGCGCACTGACCACAAGGTAAGACGGTTAGGTAGCATGTGAGCTGTCAATCGGGTGTTGGTTCCGGCGTTTCTCGGATTGGCCGTGTGGCTACTAGCTCTGGACCGTTTACGGAAAGAGAGAGATCCTGCGGGATGCGGCTTGTTGGGCATGGAGTCGCGGAAGCGCTCGACTGTCTGGGTATTGGGGCATATCGGCGAACGTAAGGTCCGCATCGAGTATCTACAGAGCGAAAGGGATAATGACACGTCTACAGATTACGCCACATGGACACGGCTCGAGGTGTAATGATATAGTTCGTTTTCATCGATATGGGCACGATGCTGGACCCTGCAGCACGCGATGAAGCAGCGAACCGTGTAAACTGCCAAAGGATGCGAAATATGCTCACGCAAGACCAACTCCAGACAACCACAAGTCCAACAAACAGGCTTACTATGCACATCACTCAACCAAGACAGAGAAAAGAAACAAACAAGTCTGACGCAGACGCTAGCAATCGACACCCAGCGGGAAAGAAAAAAAGCTCAAGGGAAGCAATCCGTGAAGGCCCAAGAACTCCCCAACACCAACCATATGCTTCCGGCGCGCGTAGTTGGGAAAGAGGGTTCTAGGCGTTGCGATGGCCCAAGTTTCTGCGCTTACCCGGCGGCGGAGGATCGAGCTGCGGGGCGCGCTTTAACGTGATGGTGGTCGTGACCACCTGTCTGATGCTGAACGTACCGTTCTCGCTGACGGGAGACTCGACATGCTTCCAGCGCCACTCTGACGGGGAGAAGGGGAGCGGCGAGCGCACGGGGTACGCGCTGCGGGGGGAGGCTGTCGCCGTAGCGGGAGAGTAGAGGTAGGGCGGGGGAAGATGCGAGCGGCGTTGATGCTTGGGGCTCTTGGACGACCACTGTGCAGAGGGATATGGAGCCACCGCGCTGGGGATGTGCTTGGAAGACGCACTGGCGGGTGGGAAGGTGCCGGTGACGGCACTGGAGGGCTCAGATGTGGGCGAGGGACGTGGCCGGTCCAGCATGTACTTGGAGAAGTTGGCGCGGGAGGTGGCCGGGCTGGCGAATATGGGACTGAAGGTGTTGAGGAATTTCGGTGTAGGCCGGAGGAGGCGTGATGGCCATTTCAGTGTCCTCGTCTTCGTCCTGCTTCGCGTCGCCGTTGTTGTGCCTGCAGTCGAGGCAGGATGTCTGGTATGTGCGTTCTTCGCATCTCCGACGGAAGTTCTTGTTTTTGAGTTGCTCTTCAATGGATTAAGCACTGGCTTTGCTGGGACGCTTTTTGCCCAGCTGAATAGATTGTACCCTTCTAGATGGAG